CGGAATCCTGGCTGCTCCGACGGGCCTGGCCTGGCCTAGCCTGGCCTAGCTCGCAGCGCTTCCCCGTTCACTGTCTTTTGGGCAGTGGCGTGCCCCATCCAGATAGCGTTTGATGCTGTGACGTTTGACTGGCCGGTGGCAGCGGCTGCCAGCGGCCGTCGGGACTCCACCCCCATGTCAACCATTACCCTTTGGGATTGACGGAAAAAAGATAGCACCTGCGGTAAACAAAAGGGGAAAGAGTGTGTACGAACGCGGTGCACTCTAGGCCGTCGGCCTCTCCACAAACAGTGCAACGCGCTCATTCCGAGCAGCGAGTGTTTTACTGGTGGAGTAATGAAATTCGCGCCACTTCATAGGGTAATATTTTCGCACCTTCATGAAATAACATAGGGCGGTATGCTTAATAAGTACCCGGCGCGTATTCAACTCGTGCGCCGCGCTCGGCCCTGCACACACGCTCACACACACACACACACACACAACACACACGCACACACCTACACACACGTGCGTGGGCGGTGTTGTCGGTGTGTGTGTTTTCGCGGCATCCCTTTTGACATGGCAGCCTATGTCATTTATATGTTGATGACTTGCAAATAATGCCGCCATGGCAGCCTTACCTAGGTCGCGACAACGCGGCGGTGCGGCGGCGACGCGGCGGGGTCAGCGGCAGGCTGATTCAGTGCTCTCGGTGCTTTTGGCCGCTACCCGTCTCGCTCGCACTCAGGGGCCGTTCGGCGTAGTTTGGCGGGGGTGCGAGAGAGACAGAGCGCCCCGAGTGGGTCGCGCCGCCACGGGCAGACGGCCATTACGGCTTCGGCGCGAATATGGACGCCACGCACTCGACGTGCGCGGCCAGCAAGGGCACCTTGACGCGCGGCCCTGGCGTGCCGTGGCCTCGGGGGAAAACGACGCCAGGACGACAGTCCTTCGGGTCCTCGGCGCCCTCGGGACGGCCGTCAGATCACGTTCAAACTAATTGGGTGCCTTATGACCTCACAGTGTGCTATGCGCGGCTGGGCGGGGCTCGGCCTGCCGTGCTTCGCCTTGAAAGGGAATATGGACCGGCCCCTAATGGACGTCACAGCGGCAGCAGCAGCGCCCGGCCCGGCCGCCACCCTGGAGGTCACGACGGTCGTGGGGGAGGTCGGCGACGCCTTCGGCATTTGCAGGACGCGGCGCTCGGGGGAACTTGAACGTGAACACGATGCACAGTGGGCCAGAAGATCGGGGGAGGCGGCCGAATCTCTAGACGCGTTACGAGCTCCAGAGTCGCTAAACCGAACGTGTGACCCCACCAATGGATTCCTCGTTCCGAGAGCAATCTATGGGTGGGGTCACACGTCCGGTTTGAGTTCATTTAGCGACTCTGGAGCTCAAAACCCATCCGAAATTTTGATCGCCTCCTCCGGTCTTCTGACCCACTAGCGACGGGGCCACCGCGCCAGTGGGTCAGCCAGGTCAGCCGTGACCGGCAAAAGTTCCAATTAGAAACTGGCCCCATATCGGACTGTAGGCCTCGGCTCGCTCCAAATCCATTCTCCCCCATCCACACTCACATTCGCACACAAAAGGGTAACTTTGGGCCGGCAGAGCGCGGACAACCGGAACGGAAATATATATTCAATGCATCCTTTTTGGTTTGACTGCGCTCACTCGCTCACTGCGAGCCGCGCGGCGCTGGCGGTGCGCGGGCCTTCCGGGCTGCGCGGGGGCCCGGCCCGGGTCTTATAGAAACTTTTTCGACGCCGCGCGCCTCGCTCGCCGGGCGTTCATTTATTGGCGCGGCTTTTCCGTTATTCACTTCCCCTTTTCCCCAATTTGTTACACCTTGACGCGCGCGTGCGGGGGGAAGGGGGTGGGGGTGGGGGGAGGACGCCGGGGGCTGCGAGTTGGAGGACAAACATCGGGAATTGAATCAGGAAAATCGGGGAGGCTGCGTGAGCCGCAGAACTTGTGCGTGCATGGGGCGCAGATGGCCGGGACAGGTGGGGGAGGGGAGGGGAGGGGGAAAGGCAGGTGGAGAGGGAAGGGCACGGCAAGGACGAGAAGGAGGACAATGAGGAAGGAGAAAGGGGTCTGGATTAGCGTGTCAATTGCCCCCGCAGTGCGACAGTCCAGGACTCCCCTGATGGACCGACTGGGACGCCCTGCCGGCCTGCCTGCCTGCCGGCCTGCCCGTCGCCCGCCTGCCAGCCCCCCGCGTGTCCGCGGTCCCTCTCTCCCTGCAGCACCGCGCCCAAAAATTAATCAATTTACGAGAAAGTTTGGGGAAACCGCAGGCCGTGCCTGGCGTGCCTGCCGTGGCGTCCGCGGTGCCTAGGTTGAGGTGCGGCAGCGGGCGCTGGGCTCGACAGGCCGCTGCAGCAGCGGGGCGTCCGGAGCGGTCGGGGAGTCCCCGCTCCGCAGACCGGGGTAACTCCGCCTCGCCGGCGGCGGACATACCGGGGGCGCTTCTCCGCCGGGTCTCTGCCGGGCTGTCTGTACACACCAGTCGCCGCCGATCACTTTTTCATGAGTTGGCCATGCCGCCACAGCCTACGGTGCTGCCCACGACCCGGCCCTATTTGATGGGGGAGAGAGACGGGACTAGAAGAAGCGCGCGAGCGGGCGGCGGTCTTGGCGGTCTTGTTGTGGACTAGCGCCGTGGCGACCGTTACGACAAGCTGCGCCGGGCGAGGACGACGAGGACGACGAGGACGACGAGGACGACGAGGCCGACGAGGACGACGAGGACGACGTGGACGACGAGGACGACGAGGACGACGAGGACGACGAGGACGACGAGGACGACGGCGTCCCGATGAGCGGCTTGCAGCGTGCCACAGCCATGAGCTGGCTTAGGCAATCATGGCATCGATGTTTTTGTTGATGATGTTGTTTCCGTTAGGAATAATATTTTTGTGACACGTAACAAGGCGCTGTCGATACACTGCGCTGCGTGGGTGCGCGCCCACACACTCACACATGTCGATACACATACAGAGCGCGGCGCGGCGCCACCGCGGCAAGATCCATTTGTTTCACGTGTGTGCCGTGCCGTGACGCGCCGTGACGCGCCGTGACGCCGCGTGACATTTGGCCACGCATTTTGAGTGTGAGTGTACCCCAGACCACGGGCGACGATTCATCATTCGCCGTGCTAGGCCAGCTAGGCCTCCGGGAACCTAATTGATTACCGCGCCTCTTTTTCTAGAGCACTGACGTGAGTGTGCGTAGCATATGAAAATATATTAAACGTGCAGTGAGTTTTGCCAACAGGTTTGACATATTGCTCTTAGTTCGTTTCTTTCTGCACACTTCTTTCAAAAGGGACACTTTGGTAATAGTCTTCATTCCAGCTCACGCTCCTGCTATAAATTTACTTAAAAATTTAATCGGTTTTTGGAGAAAATGCGGTTATTTTCAAGTGATGAAAATCTCATCCAAGACTTTGTCATACAGTGGCAGCAGACTGTCGCAGCGTTGGCATCGTGCGTCCGCGCCCCGCGAGTGTCATTGTCATCCGTCCAGGGCCCTCCAGGTCTTACCTGTGCCGATGGTCTCCGCGACGCGCCGCAGATGCACTGTGCAATCCACCAGGCAAATGACACGTCACCAACCACACCACCACCACACTCTCGCAGGAAGCACTCAACAACCACCAAGTCACCACGACCCGCTCGCACTCGGAGGGGGAGAGGGGGCGCGGCGGGCTGGCGCCCCCGGCCTGGGGTTTGGCGGCTCGGGCGGCTCAGTGCGACGAGTCCACGCTCGTGGCGCGGTTGGCGCCGAGGGCACGGTCCGCGCGCGCTCCGGGGCCCGGGCCTCCTGTGGGGGTGTGTTCCTGGCGGCGGCAGCGCGGCGACTGAGCGGGGGCCGAGGGAGGGAGGAGCGACAAGGACGGAGCACGCCACCGCCACCGCCCGCGCAGCAGCGCAGCAGCGCAGCGCCGCAGCCCTGGCGCCCCACGCCCGCCACACGGCCGGCCCTGCCGTCCCCTGGGCCTGGGCCGGGGCCTGGGCGGAGGCCTGAGAGAGGGCCGGCGCCACCATTCCTACCCCAAGCCCGCGCCAGTGGGCCCCGCCAGCGGCCTGAGCCAGCGGGACGCGTCTCCAGCAGCTTGGGGTTGGTTGCGGCGGGGAGGCATTCCCTCTCGCTCGCACTCATTAACGGCAACGGCCCCACCTCGTCGTGCGTTGAGCCTCGCGTCGAGCTTGGCGTCGAGCTTGGCGTCGAGCCGCGCTGTGCGGCTGTGGACCGCGCCTGGGACGCAGGCAACTCAACGGGCGGCGCGGCCTTGCGGTGTACGTGTGTAGCGTGCGCCATAGGCGTCCGTTCTCTGGGGATCCTCCCGGTCTAGCTCGCCTAGCTCGCCTCGCACAGATTCCCAGTAATTGTCCGTCCGTCTGTCTGTCTGTCTATCTGTCCGTCTGGCCGGCCTGGCGGCCTATCCGCCGCACACGCGGTAGAGCCGCGTGGCCCCCTCCACGCGCGCGTCAAGGTCATTGCCGCCGAGATGCTCGTGGTCAGGGTCCTTCTCCAAAGCTAGTCGTGCCCAGACGTGGTGGGGAAGGGCCCCGATTTGGGAGGGGGGACCTAAGCCCCAAATTGCTTTCTTCAAGTCAACTCGCCGTTTCTATAGCCGGTGTACTTAGCTCCGCCTGACGACACGTTTGCCGGGAGGAGTCGACGGCATCCTCGCTTCGTCGGCGTGCTGTCCTAGCGGGCCCAGCCCCTCCCGCCCGGCCCACCCGTCCCTGCCCTTCCGCGATAGCTGTGCTGGCTGTGCTAGCTCTGCTATGCCGACGCCGGGCCTAGCCTAGCCTGGCCTAGCCTGGCCGGCTCGCTGGGGCGCGAGCGGCGCGCCGAGGCCCGCCACTGGTGTCCGCCGTGCCGCCGACGTCATCCTCTCAGTTGACCGGCGACCTCCACCGCGACCGACCGCACCTCGACGGTCCCGACGCCGACCGCGCGGCAAGACTGCCGCCACGCCCCGCCGCACCGCGCCGCACCGCACCGCGCCGCACACCATGGCGAGCATGTGGACACTAGCGGGTGAGTGTGGAATCGAGAGCCCCGGCCAGCGGCTATCGCGCACCTGTGTCAACCTCTGTCACGCGCGCCACTCTCAAAAAAACTATTGCACACGGTCTCTTGAGCTTCTTGTTGTTGTTTGTGTTTGTTCCTACTTTTGGCGGGAACGTAGGCTGCCTGTCCCTCCACCCGGCTTCGAACCCGCACCCGCGCCCACTGAGCAGCAGCCCGCACCCCCGCCTAGACACTAGCAGCACTCGCAGCACTAGCAGCACTGGCACTTGCAGCACGTGGGCTCGGCGGCCTGGTCGAGGGCCTGGCCGGGCAGCCTCGGCCTCCCAGCTGTTCCCCCACTGTACGTCCCCGTCCCGTCATTCCCGCGGGAGCATGGCAGGCCGCGGCAGGCGGAGAACGCGCAGCAGGGCCGCACGCCCTCAATCACCGAATCCGCTAAACGCTCCACAAACACGCTCCTCGGCCCACACGCGCGCTTTTCCAAACACCGCGCCGTAGCTCCTGGAGTGAGGCCGTGAGGGCGACGGGGCGACGACGGCGAGGCCCTCTTCCCAAACACAACAGCGTTGGCGACCTGTTCCAGGGACGGTGCTTGCCGTGGCGGTGGCGGTCTACTTCACGTCGGGCAGCGCCGGCGTCCCGGAAGGTGCGTCCCCACGCTATCGGATATGAGATAACAACCAACGACGCGTCGGGTCGTACACTGTCGGCACTGTCGGCTAGTGGTGTGCGAGCATTTTCTAATCTCGAATCGAATCAAAGTTCAAAAAATTAAGTCGAATCAAATCAAATTTATGTTATTTTGATTCGGTTTGATTTGTTGAACGGGTGAAATTAGCGTTTGTTTGGCCCACAACGCCTTCCAATACGTAAATTTTAAATTTTTATGGTCCGTGTTTTTTTTTATGAAATCGAAGCAGCCCAGTAGATTCGATCCGATTGGGCTTCGAGCTATCGGCGGTGAAGGGTTTGGCGTACACGTCGAATGTGAATGTCGAACAGTGCAGCAGGTGGTGCGGGGCGTCCGGGTTAAGCAGGGCGACATCGCGGGGCTGCTGCGGACCACGGACAACGGCTTCAAGTACGTCAGCTTCCGGGGCATTCCCTACGCCGCGCCGCCCGTCGGGGAACTTCGCTTCAAGGTAAACACGCCTTAGAGTTCGACCCGCTTCCCGCCGTTTCCGTTCATTTCCGCATGGTTCCGTTGTCGTTTTATTTGTGTTTCAGTCGCCAAAAGAGCCGCAGTCATGGGCGCCGCGCGAGCTGGAGGCCTTCAAGGATGGCACCAACTGCATGCAAGTCAAGGACACCAAGTTCAAGGTATCCCTCGTCCTGGCGCCTCGCACAGGGTGCTACCGGAGCGCCTGCAGACGAGAGGGTAGGCCACACGCCGTGCCGCTGTGCCAAGCGGGCGATCCTCCTCCAAAAAATAAAAAAAGTGGCGCCGACCGGTTGTTGAACCCGAGCCATGGTGCCAGGGTCGGCCTTAATGGCGGCCAGTTTAGCGGCCTGCAGTCGGCGACGCACAAAACTCGTCTTCTCTATGCAGCAGAAAGGAAACTTTTGGTTCCGGCGACGTCTCTTTGTGAAGCAGGCTGTTTGCTTGCTTGCAGCTGTGGGGCTTGCTGGGCTTCAACCGGAGTCTGGCGGACTGGCTGCTGCTGGTCACTTCGCTGCCGAGACTCGTTTCCACGTTCCTCGCCATGCAGGAGAGCGAAGATTGCCTCTTCCTCAACGTCTATACTCCAGTGGTGCGTAACTCGATAAGGAGACAATGGCGAAACGAGTTCGGACTTCGGACCTCCCTCCTCTCTCTCTCTCTCTCTCTTTCTTTTTCTCTCTCTCGGCGACTGCCCGGCGCCAGCAGCCCCTGTCCAGCCGTTCCGAAGGGGGGCCCTTTCGTCGCTCTGTCTCTATCGCACCCGTGCGGTGCGTCGCATGAGTGGGACAGAGACAGAGCGACGCGTGGTCCTTCGGAGCCGCTCTGCTGTTGTTATCCTTGTTGTTGTTGTTTGCAGCAGCGGCTGCCCGTGCTGCCGTCCGAGGAGCACCGGCCGGTCCTCGTCTTCGTCCACGGCGGCGGCTTCCTCCGCGGCAGCGCCAACTCTGCCATCTACGGCCCCGACTTCCTCGTGGAGCAGGGCATGGTGGTCGTGACGCTCAACTACCGCCTGGGCTCCTTCGGTTAGACTTAGACACCGGCCGCAGGCCTTGGGCCAGGCTGTGGTGGACACAATTTGTATTCGTTGACGCGCCTCTACATGCGGGTGTGCTTGCAGGCTTCCTCTCCACCAACACCTCGGACGCGCCGGGCAACGCGGGGCTCAAGGACCAGACCATGGCGCTGCGCTGGGTGCGGGATAACATCCACTTCTTCGGCGGCGACCCCAAGCGCGTCACCATCTACGGCGAGTCGGCCGGCGGCGCGTCCGTGCACCTCCACGTGCTGTCGCCCATGTCCCGCGGCCTGTTCCACGCCGCCATCATGTCCAGCAGCACCGTGCTCTCCACCTACGTCATGACCGACGACCCCGTGGAGCACTCCGAGCTGCTGGCCCGGAACCTCGGCGCGCCCGAGGAGGTCATCGCGGACCCCCGGCGCCGAGTGCAGTACCTCCGCGAGCAGGACCGCTTCGCCGTGGCCAGGAAGTACGCCAACAGCCTGACCGAAGAGGTGACTCTTGAGCCGACGGCGGGCCGGCCGGTGCCGCCAGCATGGCCAGCAAGGCCAGCACGCCGACGACGTGTGTCTTGCCGCCCTGCCCCTCGCTGACCCCGGCCTCTTCCTGTCCAGGACTCGCGGCAGATCATCACCAAGCTGCCGTTCGGGGCCGTCGTCGAGGACTGCGGCGACGGCGAGGAGCACTTCCTGTGCGAGAACCCCGTGGACATCCTGGAGAGCGGCCGCTACAACAAGGTGCCCACCATGTTCGGCTTCAACCAGAACGAGGGCACGCTCATCTACGCACGTAGGTCCCCGCCACGCGCCGCCCCTCCAGTGCCCCATATTTTATTCTGACGTTGTTGTTGCCGCTGCAGTTGACAGCGCCAAGGAAATCCTCGGCAAGCTCGAGAGCGACGTGACCACGCTCGTGCCCTCCAACCTGTTGGGGCGCGTGCAGGGCGCCGACCGGGAGCGCCTCGGCCGTCGGATCAAAGAGTTCTACATCCGACCGGAAGACCCCAGCGACCTGGGGGCCCTGCTCAAAGTGAGTCTGTCAGTCTGTACTCCGCCTGCACCGCCCGCTCCGCGGATATACGACCGGCCGCAGTAACCTGTGTGTGAGTGTGTGTGTGTGGTGTCCGCAGCTCTACGGCGACATCCAGATCGCGCACGGCGTCCTGGTGGCCGCGCGCTGGCACGCGCGCCACTCGACGCCGGCCACGCCCGTCTACCTGTACCGCTTCACGCACGACGCCTTCGGCTTCTACAAGTTCCTCTACGGGATTCGCGCCATCAAAGGTGAGTGCAGTGTAGCGAACGCCCGCTGTATCGGGAGTCAACAGAGACTAAGCAGGGCGGCTTGAATGCAGGCCCCGGGCACGCCGACGAGCTGGGCTGTGTGTTCAACTTCGGCGGCATCCTCAACAACAAGTTCACCCCGAACTTGTCCCGGCAAAAACAGTGCCGGATGAAGATGACGAAGCTCATTTCCAATTTCGCCAAGCACAAGTCAGTGTTTCTTTGTCGTCGTTGTTGTTGTTTGTCAGTGAGGGTAACTTAAAATGAATCTCTTTTTTTTTTTCTTTCCAGAAACCCCATCATTGAGGAGGAGCGCGAGATCTTCGGGACCCAATGGCCGGCCGCGACCAGATCGGCCTTTAGCTACCTCGACTTCAACGAGACGCTGCAAATCAAGACTGACCCCATTAGCGATAGAATGAAATTCTGGGACTCTGCGTACAGAGAAGCCACTCACGCTGCCATCTATGAATAAATTGAATATAGACTTTTTCTTTTCTAACAAATTGCCTCGCTTTATTATTTGGCCCCGGTTTAGGCGTCGCACGGAGAGGCGCCTCTCACAATAAGCGGCCGGAGGGGCGGGGCCAGAGGCGGTGCCAGCAGACTGAGAGCCGTTTTCGTCGCTCTGTCTCTCTCGCACCGATACGGGACGGCCCCGTGAGAGCGAAGGAGCCAGAGCGACGCAAACGACTCTCGGAATCAGTCGGCAGGGAGGCGACGCCGGAGAGACGCCACGCACTTTCGGAATCATTTCATTGTCATTCCCGGCAGCTACTTCGACGCGCCGAGATGGTGGCGCCTGACATGACGTGGAATTGAGTGGGGGGACGCGTCCGAGGCCGTGCAGGCTGCGCGCGTCGCAGAGGCAGCCGGCCGGGGGGGGGGGGGGGGGGCGCTCGGACGTCAAACGTCCAGAGGGCACGGCGATGGCGGCAGGGGGTGCTAGGGGTGCGGGCCGCGCGTCGCGGCTGTCGCGAGAGCTCCAGCCCCCAGGCTCCGCTTGCTCGGCTCCGCTGCTGCAGTTTTCGAAGCCACCCAAGGCCGCCCAAGGCCCGGGGCGTGCTTGCAGTCTGAACGCTGCTTCACTGTCTCTCTCGCTCTGCCACGCGCAGGGCCCGTGAGTGCGAGAGAGACCGAGCGACGAAAGCCGTGTTCGGAATCAGCATGCTGTCGATGGAGGCCGCCGCGCTGGCAGGAGGAAACTTCCAGCAGTGGGCTGCACGTCGACGGCGGCGAGGCTGGGCGAGGCTGGGCGTGGCGCGGACAGCAACTCCCGACCCCGCATTTCTCACACACGCAAAAAAAGGAAACACACTCGCGAAACAGGATATTTGGCTGCTATTCGAGTTGCCGCGGCGTCGAGACGAGGCAAAAGCCCAAGCCCTCGCCGCTGCATGGCGGCTTTGCCTGTGTACGGCAGCACGCCACTGCAATATCTCCCCCACTTCCGAGAAGAACAAAAGGAGAGGACGCCGCCGCGGTGCCGCCTCCCTCTCGCTCCCTCTCGGCGGCACTTGTAGCTTTGTTCGAGTTCGGCCCGCTCGGATATTATTTCAAATGCGCCATGATGTAGAGTGGGCTCGCGACCCGCTCCAATTCTTCCTTCCTTTCTTGCGACTCGCCGCCCCGCCCCGGCCCGCCTGCCGCCGAGCCTCAGGGTGGTCCTTTTACAAAAGTGACATTTGCATTTCTCGGTGGGAATTTATTCATCATCGCATTTGCCGGCACAGCGCAGCGGCCCCCTCCTCCGCCCCTCGCTCTTCGCGCGCTCCAGCAAGGGAAGGGGGGGGGGGACATGGGCCGCGAAGACGGGTTAAGAGCCCCCAGCGACCCGGTCAGGGCTGGAGCGCGCGCTAATTTCCAGTGATGGGAAAAATGAAGGGGATGGCGGGGCGGGGCGGGGCGGGGCCGCTGGAGAGAGCCGAGGAGGGGCGAGGCGAGGAATTGGCCTCCTGGAGACAAAGGGAATGCGATAAGAGCAACCTCGTTTGGGCCGATGGACAGCGGGCGACGGGGACAAGGACAAGGGGGAGGGCCGGGCGCTAAGGGGGCCGCGGGGGCCGCCTTCCAGCCGTATGTTAGGCCCGGGCTGCTGCTGCCGCTGCTGCTGCTGCAGGTGCACGGTGGGATGGCCGGCGCCGCTGGCGGGCCCCGACTCGGGCCCCGAGGAGCCCCTGTACGCCGTCACCGCGTACTGATGGCGCTATACCGCTCGGCCCACACGTTTCCCGGCCACGGTAATTGATCGCTTTCGGGCGGCCGTGCCTTGGCCGTGCAGACACTGCCGGGCCGTGCTGCCGTGCTGGCTGCTCGGAGGCAGGGCGAGGCAAGGCGGCTCCGGGAGGAAGGGCGGCTAAAATTTCCCTTGGGCCTCGACGCACACCTTTCAGCACCTTTCGCGAGCAGTACAAATAGGATATCCGGTGGGGCCTGTGTATGACCGGCGCTCACACACACACACACACACACACACACTCACACACACACACACACACACACACACACACACACACACACACACACACACACGGCCACGCTCCGAATCGGAGATGAAAGGCGTTTTCTTCTTTTTTCCGCGCTGGCGAAAATCTGGCGCCGATCCTTGCCGAGACTTGGGGCCCAGGGAGGCCGAGGCGGGCCAGGGCCTTGGCCAGGGCGTTGCTGGCGTGGGCGGGTCGGTTAGCCCAGTGACGCCGAGCCACGCCAAGCCGACGCCCCGCGCGACCTGGGGCGGACCGGGGCGGACCAGGGTCCTAACGGCGCGGCCGCCGGGGGTGGCCGAGGCACGGCCGAGGCACGGCCAGGCCATGGGCCGAGGCTGCCTTTGAAGCCCTGCAACAACCCACTCCAGCAGCGCCCGACCGTCACTCCAGCGCTCGCTCCAGCCGCTCCTGCTCGCGGCACTCAAGCCACTCACACGCAAGATTTGCTCCAGCCTGCCTTGCTTTGCAGCCGCCGTCCAGGCCGACTGATTCCAGAGAGCCGTTTCGCCGCTCTGTCTCTGTCGCACTCACGGCGCGTCGCGTGAGGCGCGAGGGAGACAGAGCGACGGACCGGCTCTCCGCTCTAGCTGCCCCCGGCACGCCTCTGTCGTCGCGGCGCGCTCGGCAAGCAGCTCGCGTCCGCGTTCTGCCTGCTTCTGCATTGCACCGCCGCGGCCGCGCAGGATTATTCCGCTTTTATTTTGGCCGAATTTGTCCGGCGCCGCGCACCGGGAACTGCGTGCGAGTAAATATTTATGAGCAGTGGACACCACAAACACGCAACGCGCCACGCGTCCGGAGCGCGCTGACGTACTGTACAGTGCTCCAGGCCGCCCCAGGCCTCCAGGCTTGGCTCCAGGCTCGTCCTCGTCTACGCTTAGCCGGACTGAGACGATACCCTTTACACCCGGTTGACCGGGTGAGCCAAATGTTTGTCTGTCTGCCCGTCCGTCCGGCCGCCCGCTCGGCGCTTCCGGGCCGCGCTCGCGCTGCACATCCACGGGAACGCGATGACAAATATATGCAGCCCACATCGCCTATAACCGCGCGGAAAACAAGATGAAAATGGAGATGGGCTGCGCGGCGCCGCGCCGCAGACCGATTCCGAGGAACGCCTTCCGTCCCGCCGTCTCGCTCCCACCTGTGCGGCACGCCCCGCGGGTGCGAGGGGGACAGAGCGACCAGAACGACTCTCGGAATGAGCCTGCTGGCGCGCGTGCGCGGATGAGATAAAGTAGTCCAAGAATGACGTGTCACGCGCAGAAGGAATGGGCGGGCAATCTATTGGCCGCCATTTCAATAGAAATGCAGGGCGGCGAACGGCCGAACCCCTTTTCTCTCTCCCTCGCACACACACACACACACACACACACGCTTTCTCTCTCACTCGGCGGCGGCGTGGGCGTGTGTCTCCCACAGCAGCAACAGGAAGTGTGGCAAAATTAGTAAAGCAGCACTTGCCCGTGTTTTTTTAAAAAAGGGGGTCGGTGCGCGTAGCCAATTTCGGCGTCACGTAAAAGCGGGCCGGCCTTGGCTCCTGGCGAGCGATTCCGGAGAGTCGCCTCGCCGCTCTGTCTCTCTCGCACCCGTGGGACACTCCGACAGGGTGCGACAGAGACGGTGTAGGGACGGAAAGCAGTGTTCGAAATCAGCCTGCAGCACTCGCATACACTTTCGCTGGGAAACCGCGCCGCTGTTTGCAGAGGCGGGCTGGCAGGGCTGGCAGCCCGACAGCGGGGCGCACAATAATTAGGACCTATCTCACGTAGCCCTATTTACACCTGGACGGGCTGGACTCGTCCGCCGCGGGGCGCGCGGCTCGAAACGGACTGGGCTTTCCGCTTTCCGGAGCCCTTTCGCTTTCGCTTTCGCTTTCGCAGGCTTGCGCCGCCCCTCGTCCTCGCCGTGTCGTTCGTAAGCCGCGCCGTGATGCCGCTTCCGGGAAGCACAGCGGACACGGCGCTCATCAGACCGCTGTGCCGGCCTGCCGGTCTGCGCCGAGTGCTTGGCGGCTGGCCCGCGTTGCAAGGGGTTAGTGCGCACACATTCGGGGGATTTAAATCTCCGGGCTGAGCCTGCTGCCACTGCCGCGCCGCCGCCGCGCCGCCACACAGTGGGCCACCGTACCGCCACACTCGAGCCATCCCCGCGATGGCCCCCCAGCCAGTTCCAGCCCTCCGCCAGGCTGGGTCCGAACGGCGCCCCGTCGCCCTGCCTCTCTCGCACCCCCTGCGACGCCCGACGCGCCCCCGGGACTGCGAGAGCGACCAAAGCACTGCTCGGAATGAGCCTACGGCCGGCCTAGATCCACCACCATCCGGCCGCCTGGGGGCGCGCCTAGTGCCGGGCATGCTGCGCTGGCTTCGCCGGCTGCGCTGGCATGCCTAGTGCGGCCCACATGCAGCACTGCAACATCCCCGACGGGATGCAGGGCGCAGCCAGCGCAGCGCTCTGCGTGCACCCGACTGCGCGCCGCGGAACGCCAAGCTCCCCCTCGTCGTCCTCGTCTCGCCCCTTTTTCGTCCGTGCCCTTCTCGTTTCCTGTCTCACAGCGTGCCACGCCTGGTTAGCCAAACCACTCTTCTCTGCACCCATTCGGCCCACCCCGCCCCACCACGCCCCGGCACGCCTCATTCCCCGCGCAAAATCCCGCCCGTTGATTCCAAGTAATTGAAACATGAATTAGAAACAAGCCCCGGCCCAAAAATTCGGGGCGTGGCTTGCAAATCGAAAACCAGGGCGGGAGCGGCGCCGGCGGTTGTCCGAACAATGAACCCTGCCGGAAGGGCGGGGCGGGGCGGGGCGGGGCGGGGCGGGGCGCAGAGCGACCGCAGAGGGAGGGCTGGCTGCTTGAATCGCAGCCCGAGGAAGACGGGGGAAAAATCCGGCGCTTTGGTGGAATACCTCTCCGGAAACAACGGTGCGCGGTGCGCGCGGCCTCGGCGCCCTGGAGCAGCGAAGCCGCGCGAAGCAGGCCCTGCAGCAGGCGAGCTACGAGGAGGCTCCCATGGGACCCACGGGGCGCGCCTGCAGCACACCTGTCGTGGCGTAGCTGGCGTTGCTCGTGGCCGTGACGGCCGAGTGCGAGCACAACGTGCACAGCCTGCCGAGGAATACAATTTCAAGTCCTTGGCGATTCCCTCGCAGCCATAGCCCTATATATCATCCGCCTCACCTGGCGCCTGGGCGGCCCGTGCCGGCACCACCTCTCCCAGGAGTCGAGCTGCGAGGCGCGGAGCGCGCGGAGGCCGAGGGAGGCTGTCCGGGGAGGCCGCCGCCGGCCGCCGCCAGGGCCAGGCGCCGCCCGGGGCGCCACCAGTAGGTCACGGTGATGCCCTGCAAGGTCATGGTGCGGGCGGGCGGGCCTGCCGGGCCGCGTCCTCGAGTGGGGTCTGAATAGGGATAGGGTAGGGGCTGCCTAGTCCGGCTGGCTCTGCTGGCTCTGGCTCTGCTTGCCCTGCTCGCTCTGCTCGTGAGACGCGCTAAGTCGGCAGTAACCGGGTTTTGGTGGGATTAGGCGTGTCTTTTTACGGGATTAGAGGGGAGACTGGAGCGCGCCCAGTCGCGCATAAATCAGTTTCCAGTTTCGCATAAAGCAGTTTTGGCCCCGCGCCCTACGGGCTAGGGGCCCGCCAGGCCCGCCAGCATGCCGCCGGCCGGCCCGCGCGGGGTATCGCCGGCCATACTCCCCGCACCGCAGAGTCCCCGCAGTCGCGGGGTAGCACCGCCGCGAGGGAAGGACAAACACACACGGAACAAAAAAATCTCATTCAACGAACGTTAATGAAAGTAGATGATCCATCGCCTTTCATTACTGCTGTGATAGCCGAGAGGTTTGAGACGTGGGATCGGGTTACCGCAGGCCGGCGTTCGAATATCAGCGTCACATAAGTTTTTTCGACTTGCTATCCTAAGGGTGGTGGTTCGAGGCCATGAGAGCGGAGCCGTGAGCAACAGGCCCACATGCCGGAGGTTCGACTCCTAACAAATATTTCCATTTAATTTTACTGCCTCACCCAGTGCGGTTCAAACCCGTAAACGTGAGCCCATTCCGAGCATGGGACGTGGTGGTCCAGGGAGTAGAGGCGTCGGTTCTCAGTGCTAGGGTCGGCGGTTCGACTCTCCCAACTTCTTGCGAAATTTTGACCGGGTCGGTCGAGTCCTGTTGCGTCAAGAACCCACCTCACGCCGATCCCCTCATCATGGGCCGTGGTGGCCGAGAGCGTAAAGTCGTGTGATCCCGATGGCGGGGTCCGGAGGTCGAATCCCATCATTTCATTACATTTTTCGACCGCCTTCCTCCCAGTGCAACTCAAACCCGTCGTCCAACACGCTGCCAGACGTACAAGCGTGATAGCGTAGTGGTCAGAGTCACATTCACCTGGCCACTCCGCTGTGGGTGTCTAAAAAGCAATCCGCTTCGGCGGGTTGGCCTCGGCACTGGAGCGATGGAGTATTTGATCCATCAATCCAGACCACCCGGTGTGTGGTTGCGGGTGGTGCCTCCTTGACTTGTCGGGGAGGCGATGATAAGTCCTTTGAAGCTGGCCTAAAACGCTGTATGTTCGGTACGGGAGCGCCGGACAGTGGGGGTACCATGGGGTACACAACCAACCCTACGAAAACAAGAAGCTCCCACCAAACCTCTTCTCTGTCTGAGTCTCTCTCTGTCTCTCTGTCGTCTCACTCTACGTCCCGCCCCTCTAAGAGCTTCGTACTGGGTGCTCTCACCCAGCTGCCTGAGCTTTGGGGTCCTACTGGGTCCCCCGGCGAACGCTTAGAGTCGCTGACGGGATTAACCCCAGGTACCTGATAGCACCGGTTCCCATCCCGAACACCGAAGTAAAGCAGGAGGCCTCCCCATTAAGACTGGGGAGGGGGTGTAGAGTTCAAATTTTTCTTTTCCCTTTTTTAAATTTCTCGGTTAATACTCGTTTGGTTTCCTTATACGGGGTAGTATGCGGGCTCATTCCAAAGATAGTAATTAAAATTGTGTATGAAACAAAATATATAGACCCGAGCGAGGTGGCCGGAAGGTATCTCTGTAAAGTGTGAAGGTACCATCTGCTAAAAAAATATCACATTTATTTCGAAGTTTTGAACATAAACTGGACTTGTACTTAAGTGAGAGACTTGTTGGGAAAAGGACTAGAATGATGCCACACTGTGCGTGCATTGCGTCAACTTGAGAAACAAAATGCGCGCCGGAGAGCGCTCACCGCACGCTCAACGCGATGGCGTCCGGCGTGGTGGTCGGCGTCGGCGACGTCACCGTGGTCATGCTGCTGTCTTGGGACGCCGTATGCTGGAGCCTGCCGCCAAAACATAAATTAGTTCAAGAAGAACGTGACCGCGGACAGAGAACCCGACAAGACACGACAGGGACACGACTTGGATCGACACACATGCACGCGCACACACACCCTACCTGCGGGCGTCCTGCTGGAAGGTGAGGGAGCTGGTCATGGTGCCGGCACCCCGTCCGCGCGCACGCGGCCCCGCGCCGCTGCGGCCGCCGCGGCTGCCGCTGGTGTCCGCAGTGCCCTCGCTGGTGAAGCGGTCCAGCATGAGGCGAAGCACCTGTGGCGGGAAGGTTAGGTCAAGCGAAGCGGCAGCGACACCACAAGGACGAAACAAGCCCGCCCAGCACCACGACAAGTTTCGCTCCGGCAACAAAAAGAGCCACGAACCTTCCTCTTGCAGCAGAAGATGATGAAGATGAAGACCGCCCTGAGCAGGTTGATGACGTCGGTGGCGTACCAGTAGTAGTCGCGGCCGCCAGACGCCCAGGAGATGATCTCCGTGACCCAGGTCAGGCCCATCAAGCCGAACAGCTTGACGTAGAGCACCAGCCTGCAGGAATGCCGACAGAGCGAGTAAGTACTGCCGAAAAACGACAAGACCATCAAGACCAATGGAAAGGTCAACGCGGAACGCAGCGAGTTCAACTCGACTTTTTTTTTCGCTGTACGTACCTCTGCGTCTCGGCGCCCGAGTGCGAGCGCGCGTTGTCGGCCTTGTGCAGGATGGCGGTGTCCTTGCGCACGGCCAGGATGCGCGCCGCGGTGTAGACGAAGAGGACCAGGTTGGCCAAGAGCAGGAACGCCATCGGGCCGTAGAAGTAGATGAGCACGCTCGCTTTCTCTGCAAGGTCCCGGTTGTTGTTTAACGGGTACTCGATTGGGTGGAGCGAAGGCGGTAATGAGGCCAGCACACTGATTCCGAGAGTCGTTTTCGTCGTTGTCTCTCTCGCACTCATGGGGCGTCCCGAAAAGGTGCGAGAGAGACAGAGCGACGAAATCGACTGTCGGAATCAGTCTAGAGCCCACCTTTGAACCAACAGCTGACGACGCCGATCTGGGGGTGCAGCGCGTGGGGGCCCACCCCCGGCGAGGGCAAGGGCAGGAAGTTCATGGCCACGGTGAGGCCCGTGATGGCGGCGGTGCTGCCCCACGCGTACAACGAGTACCACAGGAACTTCTTGCGGTCGCGCTCCGCGGCGCTCCCCTGCGGCAGGCGGAGCCCACTGAAGGCCCAGGAGATGTCGACGCACATCACGTTCAGCCAGAAGAAGGCCGCCAGGAAGGAGAACTGCAGCACGAACGCTGGAGGAGCGGATCTCCAGTTAGAAAGACGTTTGAAAAGAACACAGACACAGTGCAGACATTGGAAAAACGTGTAAATACCCAAAACTAGACAAGCGGCGTGCGGCAGGGCGGGCGGCGCCAGGGCGTTGACCGTCAGGGCGATGTAGGCCATGAGCAGGGAGCCCGTGTGCGCCATCAGGTTGCTGGAGTGGAGGCTTCTGCGCAGCTCGGGCAGGGTGGCGTGCACCAGCAGCGTCACGGCCAAGAACGCCGCCCCCGTGGCGGCCAGGGCGCCGTAGAAGGTCCTGGCCGTGGACGAGCTGGCCAGCACGCCGGGGTCGGCGCACACGAGGAGGTTGGCGGCGCGCAGCCCCGTCGCCGCGTCCAGGGCCACCTCGCCGCAGAACGCGCCCGCGGGCACGGAGTTGTCCACGCCGAAGCTGTCCACCACGGCGGAGCCTGCACCAAGACCGAACTCATCCCATGTCCGTGGAAATGTCGCAAGCTGACAAGCCCCGCCCCCGCTTACCGTCGTCCATGATCCAGAACTGCCCCGACTGCGTCGAGTTGAACAGGGAGACGGAGTTGAGCAGGAAGCGGCGCCCTTCCGGGTTGGAGCAGTGCGGCAGCACGTGCAGCATGAACAGCTCTTGGCCTGCGGACAAGGAATCGCTGCTGTAATCGGTGCGACTTTGGCGCCTTTTTAGAGTCCGAGTCCGCCACTCACCCGAGTGCAGTTCGTCAGGGTGCCGGTGCTGGCTCGGCCCCCACTCGCGGCTGGCCTGCATGTCGCGGGCCTTGTTGAAGTCGGCGGCGGACGCCACGCCGTCCTGCTGCTGCTGCTGCTGCTGCTGGGGGTCGTGGTGGCACTCGGTGTCCCCCTTGGCGTCCACCAGCAGCACCGAGTTGGCGTGGCAGCACTTGCGCACGCAGCGCACGCCGTGCGCCGAGCACGGGCACAGCAGGATGACGTGGTGCACGTCCTCGTCGTCCTCCTCCAGGACGGCGGTCGTGTCGTTGCGCGCCATGTCCGCCGCCACGGCCTCCTCCACCTCCTTGCCGACGTCCTGCTCCTCCAGCGGCACGGTCATGACGGGCGGCAGCGTCAGGCGGTCCATGCAGAAGGACCCGGCCGGGAAGAGGAAGCTGCGCTCGCCCTCGTCCCCGACCGCGGCCTCCGGGGAGTCCTCAGCGGCCTCAGCCATGGACGGCGGCCTGCCGGTCAACAAAGGCACGTTAACATGGCGTGCTGCTTAATCCAACTCGCAGACGGCAGGGCAATGTAGGCCACCTGAACAGGTCGGGGCGGTGCTGTGTGACGACCAGCGACCCGTTGGAGAACAGCTGCACCTTGTCGTCCCAGAAGAGCAGCTCCGTGTCGTGGCTGCTGCAGGGCGGTGGCGCCCCCTGCTCCACGTTGGGCAGCGGGCCGCGCGGACCCTTGCGGCCAGCAGGGCCAGCAGGGCCAGCATCCCTCGCCTGCGTCACACCAAACGATACATGAGGTCGCGGGTTCGAGCCCCGCGGCGTAAGTACCGCAGCGGGGCGGCGACGCGCCAAGCGGCCCCCCGGCGACGTGATGGCCGTCAGCCGCACGCACAGCGCGGACCAGCGGGCCGCGTACGTCACCGAGGACCGAGACAGACGTCACGCGGCGCGGCGCAGCGTCACTAACCCACAGGCCGCGCGCGCCGCGCAGCCGCAGCCACGCACAGACACGCAATCATAAAATTGGCGCAGTGCGCGCGGTGCGCCGCGGATGGGCGTCACACGATCACGGCGACGGCGGCGGCGGGCAGGTCAGCGCCCCGGCCATGCCGCGAGTGCCGCCAGAGCGTCGGGCTGCCCACCTCACGGGGCGGCTGGCGTGGCCCGGCGTCGTTAGGGCGTTACTGCACGCGAGCGGCGGAGAATGCCGAGCGAGTGACTCGCCGCCCCTCATGTCCATGCGTCCACGCGGACAAAGAGCAAAGTGACCTACCGCGCGCCGGAGGTCCTCCAGGGTGACCACCTCCAGGCTGGCCGAATCCGTGATGACCACGTCCTCCGGCAGCCAGCCCCAGTCCTCCAGGCCGCGGCGGGCGCGCCCGGCGGCGTCCCCGGCGGGCCTGCTGGCGCTGCTGGTCGCCGACGCGGTCTCGGTGGCGTAGGTGGGGACGGCGGGCCGGCGGCCGGCCGGGGGCAGCGGCAGGCAGGTCCGCAAGTCGATGGACAGCTGCTGGCCCGCCGGGCAGCACTTCCTGAACGTCGTCTTGCCGGTGGCGCTGCTGCCGGTGGGGGAGCCGGCGCACGCTGACGCCAGCAGCAGCAGCAGCGCGGCGCGCGGCGGCCACGACGGACGCATGGCGCCTCCGCACCTCGTCTGCAACACTAGAGAGGCATTCTTGTCGTCAAACCGCCTCAATCCGAAGACGAAAAGAGAAAAATGAAAACTACGAACCGCACAGTTGTCAGCTACGGCGGCCCCGTGTCATCGGCGTCCCCGAGGGAGGCCATCGCGGTGCTGCTGCTGGAATCGGCGCACGGGGACCGACGGGGACCCTGCAACACGACATGGGGTTGGCAATGAGTTCGGGCCTTTGGGAGACGGGCGGGCACGCTTGCCGCGCCGCCGCGGTGCCGCGCAGTGTGCAGTACAGTAGGAGGCTCGTTCGGAGTCTCACTGTACGAACTACTCCCAACGAGGCGTTGAACAAAGAGGGGCGTTGTGCCTCCGCCACGCCACGCCACCACGCACACGCTCACATTTCCCGAAGGCAGGCGCTGGTCGTTTGTTTTCATGTCATTCATTACACCCTTTTAAGTGAGTGCAAATAATTCAAAAAATTCGCTCAAAAATTTGGTCGAGCGCTTCGAGTTTTGGTAACTGATGATGGCGACAGCATCAGGTCGTGATGGTCTTTCAAGTGGACTTCCCGCTGGACGCGTCCAACGCCACCGCCATCGAAGACAGCCCATTAGTCGGCGACCTCGCGGCGCATTGACTCCGCATCATCATCATCAGTCTACCGGTTTTTTTGTTGTTGTTTGTGTGCTTTGTTTAGTTTTTTGTCGTTTTTGTGCGGGCGGCAGTATGGAATGCTTTCTCCAGTGCAGACAGGGAAGTCCCGGTCGTCGCCCACGGCAGTGTGGCGGTGCGGCGGTGCGGCGGTGACACCCACACGCGTCTTATCGGCATGCGGCTCGCGATCCAGCCGCCACCGCCAGCAGCGCCAGCAGACAGCGACCAGGACAAAAATTTAAAGAACAATGAACTGCGAATCTGATTTATCTGGAACCACAGGAAAGAACCATTTGGCAGCTATAATTCATATAATCCTTATTTTATTTGCGACTCTTTCCCGAGGCCCCGGTGAAGGTCGCGACGCCGGCCGGCGCGGTGTTCAGGTGATCACGAACCGAACCGCGCGCGCGCGCGTTCGGGAAACGGCCGAAGTCGGGTTCGGCTCACGTGGAGGACGTGTTTACGCAACGGCTGGAGCCTGGAGCTGGAGCTGGACGCGTTAAGGATCAGGTGCCGTGTGTGTGTTCGTGTGTGAGCGTGTGAGCGTGTGTGTGTGTGTGTGTGTGTGTGTGTAAACAGGGCGAGTCGTCCTTTCGTGCCTGCCGGATTGCGCACTGCAGAGGCCGACTCGTTGAGGTCGTGCTGCTGGTGCTGCTGGCCAACTGCTGGCGACGGAAGCGGTTCGCGGCATGAACGTCTGCAAAGTGTCGCTCCGACTTCTCTGTCTCCCTCCCTCCCTCTCCCGGCGGCCAATCGGGACGCATTACCGCAGGCCGCAGACGACTATCCGACGGGAACCGTTCTGCCGTTTCGGCACTGATGCAGACAATATGGTGCTCGGCAGAGGAAATTCCCTCGCAGCGCGCCGCAGCGGGGAGCGCGCCGTCTTGACGTAGATGAGGAAGGAGGAGAAGGAGCGAAAACAGCCCGAAACAGCCCCGCAAAAGCCACTCTCCAAAAATGAAAATGAATTGAACTAACGGAAGACAACCTCTGAAGTGCAAAACTAGAATGAAATCTGATCTAAAGGCTATGAACTAACTAAACTTAAGTAGATTCGACTTAAAGTTTCCGAGAGCGAGGTGGGGGCAGAGCGCGGTCACGGCAAGGGGCGCGGTCCTCGAGGTGCGCGATGCACGGACTGCCCGGACTTCCCCGCCGAATCCAATGATGTGCGGCGCGATTGTCACCGGCAGACCGCGGACATTTTTCCGCCGGTGTTATTGTGACGCGACAGAGCGTCTCTCTTAAACACGCCGGTCACGCGCGGCTGCCTACGCATTTCGAATCAAACCGCGTGGAACCTCTGCGACAGGACAACAACAACAACAACAACTCGTGGAGCCGCTATCAACACTTGTTAATTGCAGCGATTGCCGTCGCGATGTGTGCCATTCCACTCCACTCCATTCCGGCCGGGCGGGCCCTGATGACACGGCTATCCCCATCCCGAATTAATTCCAATTTGCATTTCATGGAAGCAGCACTGTCCGCCCGGCGCCACCGACGCGCCGACACCCGCTGGAGCGGCCTGCGACTGACTGGCGGCACTGCCAGGCACTACCAGGAAGCCGCGGCGTCTAGTCCGCTCGCCGAGCACATCCTCCAATAATCACCCACATTCGCCGGCAATTTCTTTTCGACGGTATAAATAGAGCTTTCGGTTCGTGATTATCGCCGCCATTACCTCTGCGACGTGACGTCGCCGCCGTGACGTCGCCGCTGTCGCCGCGTTCGAGTGTTTCGCGCGGTTTCGCGCAACATACGTGACTCCACGAGGCAGAAGATGTCGCCCTGTCTCTGTCGCACTGGTAAGGCGTGCCGTCAGGGTGCGAGACAGACAGAGCGACGAAACGATTCTCCGGAATGGCTCGGTACCCGTGATTACCGGGTGATGCGGGGGGCGCTGGGCGCGGCACCGCGGCGGCGTTGGACTCGCGGTGCTCGCGGCCACGACGCCGTCCTCGACTTCCTGCCGAAGAAAGGCGCAGGCTGGCGGGGCTGGCGGCGCTGGCGGTTCAAAAGGCCGCGTATGAGAAATTGATCGACCGCGGGGAAGAAAAGGTGCATTTATCAGCGCGGGGCCGGAAGGCCGTCATGCCACCGGCAGAGTCTGTCTCCCTCGCACTCTCAGCGCGCCCCACGGGGGTGCGAGAGAGACAGAGCGACTGGGTATCAGTCCATCGAGCGGGAGTTCGGCGCGGGCGAGCTCACCGGCGGCAGCGCGGCGCCCGCACCACTCCTCTCCAAACTCCCAGCCCCAGCAGCCCCAGCAAACGAGGGTCCAGGGTGCAGGCCACCGTCGCGCTCTTCGGCAACTTTGGCGCCGCCCAGGAGGACAGGTGGCTCTGACTCCGACGCAATCTGGCGGTGAGAACGCGGCGGCTGCGTGCGACGGCAAGGCAGGCCAAGGCAGGCACGGCGTGCCCGGCCCCGCGGCCCCGCGGCCCGCCCTCGCGCAATAATGCCGTGATAAGCCGGCAGCGCGTCGACGGGGAGGGGCAACAACACGGCCTCTGTGACGTGATTGATATTAGTATTGGTTTTTGGTTTCTTTCACCGGGACAGCGCGTCGTGCCGTGTCATTGGGTGGAAACGGGTCCCTCCGGGTGGTTGTGCAAGCGCACCTGGGTCCTCGCCGTCCTCGCCGTCCTTCGACACCCACGGCCCCGGAGGGGCGCCGCCCGGTGCGGTCCCCAAGTCCCCAGGGAAGCCTGCCGCCCGCAGGCCGATGCCGAACAGTGCTTTGTCCCTGAGTAAGCGTCTCTCTCTCGCGTGGCTGCGTGAGTGCGAAAGAGACAGGGCGACTGTCGCATCGTTTTGTTGCGGCCACCGGATCCTCGGGCCCCGGAGTCCATCAGTCACGATTACCGAGACACGGATCAGGTCGTCGCCGGTTCCTTCCGGGCGGAGGATGCTGCGGCTTCGCAGGTTAAGTTTGAAAAACGGCAACTGCTTTACGCGCTTGGCGCGCATAGCGCGGGGACTTGCGGCGTTGGATCATCCTTTTGCCTCCTGCCGCGTTGCTGCCCGTCGCGCTGCCCGCGGCCAGTGCGTCGTCTGCTGGAGGGCACTAGAGGCACGACAATGGGCCGACAGTGCCTCCATCGCTCCGTCTCTCTCGCACTCGCGGGGCGGCTCGTACTAGAGTGCGAGAGAGACGGAACACGGCGAGGTGGCGCTGACGCCGGCATCGTCTTGAGGCAACACTTTTATTGTCCCCTCAGGGAGACTGAGTCACTGGTAGCACTAAGTGAGACGGTGGCGCACGGCCGCTGTTTCGAACACCTGTATTTGCATTTCCTACGACAGTGCTAAAACGATTCGCCCACTCAAGGCACAGGGTTGTCTAGAGCCACCGCCGTTGGAGAGTTTGGTGGCCCTGCGGGGCGTGGCCGAGCGTGGCCGGGTGTGGCGTTGGCGGAATCGCCCCGGATCTCTGAATGCAGTGGGCCACACAAAGCCGAGTGTGATGCGGCGTTATTTGCGGACGCTGCGAACGCGAATGGACAAAAGCCAGAAACAAGCAAGCCCCTTCACTGGCGGCTTGTCCCGGCCGTCCCGGCTTGCCCATTAGGCGCGCCGCGCGCGGTCCTTGAGTTTGAGGCGGTGCAGGCCTCGGTGCAGATGCCATGCCGCCGCGCCACTGCGCCACGCCTCGCGCGAAAAAGGCTTCGTGGAGCGTCGCTGTGCTTACTCCACTCCACTCGGTGCACTTTTCGTCTGTCTCTCCGATCCGCGCCACGCGGTGCCGCCAGTGTGCCACGCGGCCCGGCAGTAAACGGGCAGCCAGGAAGTAAAGTACTGGCGCCAAGTTTATGAAACGAAAAAGAGGGAGTCCAACTCGACTGCTGCAGATGCACAGTGTCCCGTCGTAAAGCGGGGCGGGCGGTTCCGAAGCAGTAAACCACTGGCCAAGTACAGTGTAGTAGTTGTCATGGAGAATGGCCAGAGTGGCCCGGGCAATGAAAGTAAACAGAGAGGCGAGTGGCACCCAGTCCAACCCAGTCCCCCAAGCCAAGGCCACGCTCCACACGACTACCTTGATAAGGGGACCGTAAAGTTGACAGAGGTCCGATGATAATTTCGACCCCGTTGCACGCTCTGGCCGCGGCACCCAACTTGATTGACTCTAGGAAGGCGGCGTGACGCGTCGGTGACTCGCCCCTCCTTTTTTACAGTGATGGCGTCCGCGAGGCGCCGCGACGCTCCCCCCAGGGCGAGGCCTCGACCCCTTGTTCCGCCCCTGGCTGCCCTGGGCCTGGATAGAGTCAACAGGCAGAAAGAAAGGACGACGCGGAACGGGGCCGGCGAGGCCACGCCGCCGGTAACACCGCCGGTAAGGCGACGAGGCTTTGAGGCTTCGATGAGCGTTCGACTGGTTCCTGACGCACTTGTGCCCCACTTAGGCCGCGGAGAGGCGCGCGGCCCCTCGGCTGCCGGCCTGCCGGGGACGCGGTGAGTCCGAGTCCGCTGGGAGGCGGCCGCGAGGGGCGGGGCGGGGCCCACAGAGTTTGACCCGCCGATCAGCAGCGACGGCTCGGGTAATGGGCGTTTGATCTGCCAATAATGGCATAACGTGGTTACCGCCAGACAGCGCTTGACAGTGTCCCAGCTCGTCTTGGCACCTCGCTATGCGTCGTCGCACTGCACTGGCCTTGCAGTGCGCCTGCACTGGCGGCCGACCACATTCTGGGCGTGGGGCGCACACACACGCACGCACGCGACACCACAAAAAGCGTGTTCTGCTTTCTGTTATTAGCCCTGGCGGCTGATTACTCCATTGGGAAGGCGGTGCGCGGGTCAACGCTCGCCCCGTCGTCCCTCCGCGTGCACCTGAGGGAAGGGCCGGCCGGGGGAGGGGAGGGAGGGGAGGGGAGGGGGCGAGGGGCACTGCTGCAAGTTCGCGCGCCCGGCCCGCCAGTTACGCCGTTGCGTTGGCAAGCCTGCCGCCGCCGGCCGGCCCGCTCCCTCGGGGACACCATGACGGAGAGCCCAGCCCGCGAAGCCCGCGTCGCTCTGTCTCTCTCGCACCCCATCGGGACGCCCCGTGAGAGCGACAGAGACGGAGCGAGCAAACAATCGGCACGGCGCCGGGGTCGGCAATGAGGTAATGACGGTTATGACGCACTGTAAGGCACTCGCTTTACCGGCAGCAACCGGCACCTTCCGAATGGGCACCGGATTCCACGGATCATGACGACCAGTTCAGGTCAATTTCGAGTATCTGCTTTGGCCTCTTTGTGGGTGAGGTTAGGAGGCGCCCAGTTGCTGTCCGCTGTCCACTTGAGTCCCTCTGTAAGACTCTACTGCCCACTTGCCTGTGGCGTTTCGAAGTCTAGCCGCCGCAAAAAGTCTTTTCCTCTGGGTTCTGGAGCGAAGGGCCCCGGGAGTTCCTGAGGCCTGGCGCCCGTCGCTGAGCCGCTCGGATTAGCACTGATTGCTCGCCGCCAAACTGTCGCGGTCCCCGGGTCGCGGTCGCGGTGGACGCTGCGGCGCGTGTCTCCGGCGCACGCGACACGCGAAGCACGCGAAGCACGCGGCGCGAAGCGCTCGGGTCGGTCACGGCAGTCCGGGGACCGGCTGAACGCCCGCCCATGTGAAGACTGCGGTGCGCTTGCCGCGGTGCCGGCCTCCGCCGCGACCCGGTCGCCGGCCGGACCGGGCAGCGGCGTGGTGGGGCGTGGCGGGGCTCGGGCCGGGGTGGGGTGGGGCCACGCGGGGCGCGGTCCCCGACGGACATAACCACTAGCAACAGGTTAGCCGCGTCGTACTCCCGCTGCAGAGTCCGTCAGTCCGTCTTTCCACCACCACCCGGTTTCTCAGTTCCCTCTGCCGTTTCTTCGGGGCCCGCGTGCTTGCCTGTCTGTCTGTCTCTCCATCCGTCCGTCCGTTCGCTCGTTCACCTCCCACAACACAAAGTTCATTCGAACGCCTCTTCCGAATGGCTTCGACCGGCTGCGGTGGCGGCCTGGCTTGGCCGCAGTCATGCCGCAGTCATTGAGCCGTTTGTGACAGTGACGTGACGCCAACCTTTGCGGCCGTGCGCGCGGTCGTTCGTTAGCTCGCCCCGAAGGCCGCAAAGGCCATCAAGGCCTACCGGAGGCCGGGGTTGCGCGCGCCCCGCTCCCCGGGGGAGAAACAGTCCGAGTACCCAGCGCGCACTTCATGTGTGCACCACTGGCCGCACCCCCTGCACCCTGCTTGTTTTGTCCAGTTTTGTTTCACCAACGCAGGAAGGAATGGTTGACAATAATTAACACCCTAGTATGAAAAAGAAATCGGATTTTATTCATTGGAAAAAGAGAAGAAAAACAGAGATGGGTGCATCTAACATATAATATATTCGCAGCAGCGCGCTCACAATATTTATTGTATATTGATTTGTTTGTTAGCTTACACAGTAGTTTCCCGCAGCACGTATAACGTGTCATTGCCCGGCGGGATTTCCATGAGGGTTGTACTGGTGGCAATGGGAAAGACCACGTCAATACTCCACGCGACCGACGTGTCCCTTAAGCTGTCCCTTAAGCTAGCATTGAGAGTCTCTCGCGCGCGGAGTAGCGACGAGGCCGTTCCAATGCGCGCTTTTCGATTTGCCTAAAAAAAATGCGATACAAGGAAGGTTGGTGTCATGAAGCGGCTTGCTCTTGCAATGCGAGGCGTATGTACACATTATTATAAGTCTAAAACAAAAACAATCAGTCCATTTACACATCACTTATCTACACAACACGCAAACACGTCTCTCACAAATAGAAAAATATTTTACATGACTAGTATTGAGCACAGGCCTGTGTTTCATTCTTGGTTTCTTTTCATCAGCGGTTAAAGTAATTGACAGAGATGGCAATGCCTTTCTCCTTCTGACAGCAAGACTAGCGGAAGAAAGAAACGGGAGGTGAAATATACAGTTTTGAAGTTTGAATCCTGACGGCGGCGGCGCGGTGGCTCGAGGTGGGAATGTACTTGGAGAGGGTTATCCCAGCTCGGCCAGCACCGAGTTGAGGTCCTCTTGGAGCATGAGCGACATCTCCCGGTGCTTGCTCAGGTCGTCCTTGACGCGGTCGATGTTGGCCTTGAGGAGGTAGTTGCCCTTCTTGAGGGCGCCCAGGATGCCCTCGTGCCGCCTTGTCCTGCGTGCGGAACACAAATTGAGTTTGGGCCAACATCAATCGATTTGATAGATTTTCGGTTTAAATGGAGCGAAAATCTGAACTCACCTTGTGTTTAGATTATTTCTCTTGTCGTCCACAGGGGCGTCGGCGGGGAGGTCCTCCCCACTGCCTTCGTCCTCCTCACTCTCCTCGCTCTCCGACTCCTCGCTCTCTTCCTCCTCTTCCTCCTCTTCGTCCTCCTCGTCCTCGTCCTCATCGCCTTCCTCCTCGTCCTCCCTCATCAGCTTCGCCATCTTGTCAACCTCCTTCTGCAGGGACTGCAACCAGACAGAGAGCAGTGAGCCGGCGCCGCTTTCGTGACTTACAGTACAGGTGTGCGTGCCAGGCAGGCCAAGTACCTTGTACTTCTTGCGCTCCTCGCGCAGCGCCTTCTGCTGCAGCTTGAGCTGCTCCCTGAGGGCGGTGCGCTCGCGGCGCGCGGACGCCTCCTTGTCCTTGAAGGCCTTGAGCTTGGTGGCGAGCAGCTTGAGCTCGCGCTGCACGCGTTTCTCCTGCGCCTCGGGGTCGTTGGACAGGTCCTCCTCCTCCTCGTCCTCCGAGTCCGTGATGGTCTCGTCCGTGTACTCGGACTCGCTGTCCTCCTGCACCGGGATGGACTGCTTGCGCAGCTCGTTGATCTTGGCCTGAGACACTGTCGCGGGGAGTCAGAATCAGAAGGCAACGTGGCCGCCACCGTCCACCTGCCACCGTACTCACTCTGCTTGCGGATGTCGCCCGACTTGGACGAGATGAGCTTCTTGGAGAGCTGCTTCTGCAGCGCCCGGCCGCCCTCCACCAGTCCGTCCTCGATCTCCTTGAGCTGCTTCTCGGCCTGCTTCTTCTGGAACAGCGCCTCGGCGAGCTGCGCCTTGGTGGAGTCCAGCTCCTCGGCGGCCTGGTGGTAGCGCGTCTCCATCTCCTTGGTCTCCTTCTGCTGCGCCTCGTTCTCCGCCTTGAGCTTGGCCACGAGCTGCGGCGAGAGACAGTGCGTTGGTTAAGGGGTAGCGCCGTGGCGGCTGGCGGCGCGGCGCGCGGGGTATCGCCGGGGTGACTCACCTTGTCCGTGTCCGGCGCGGGGCCGCTGGGCGCGCCGCCGTTCTGGGGGGCGCTCTTGCGGTTCCTCTCCGCCTCCAGCTCGGCCTCCAGGTTCTGCAGCCGCGCCAGCAGCCGCTTGTTCTCGCGCTCCATGGCCTCCTTGTTGCGCAGCTCGAGCGCCAGCATCTGCTTGGTGGACTGCAGGTCGTCGCGCACCCGGTCGATGTCGTCCAGGTCGTCCGGCTCGGCCAGCACCTCGGGGGCGTCGGCCTTCTGCAGCTGCTCCTCCACCGTCATCTGCCGCCGGAACTTGCGCAGGCCTGGCGGCAACGAGTGGAAATAAGGCCCGGGCGGACGGAAACGAAAACAAACACAAAACCGAACCAGACGCACCATCCAGCACGGGTTTGCTGCGGTCGTTACACTTGACGCTCTTGAGCTTGATGCCGGACTCGATCTGCTTGAGCAGCTGGTTGTGCTTGTTGGACGTCTCCGAGTCGTAGATGAACTGGTCCTTGGCCTTGGCCATGGGCAGCAGCGGCTGCGACCGGTCGTTACAGTGCACGCGCTTGAGCCTGGCGCCTCCCTCGATCTCCTTCATGAGGCACGAGTAGTCGGGCCGCTTGCGCGCGCGGTTGCGAAGCTGTTCCAGCTTCTGCGCCTGCTGGCAGGTCAGCGGCTTTTTGTCTGCGAGCAGGAACAAGGCGGTTTATCGCTCTGTCTCACTCGCACCCGCATGGAGAGCCCCTGTGCGACAGAGACAGAGCGACGAGACATTGCCGGACGGGGTGGTTGGCCACGGCCACGTCCTCGGCCACGTCCTCGGCAAGGCACCCACCTGCGAGGAAGGACGGCGGTGGCGGCGCGGGGGGTGCCGGTGGCGGCGCTGGCGGGGCTGGCGGGGCTGGCGGCGGCGGCGGGGCCTGCGGGGCTGCTCTGCTGGGGGCCGCCGCCTCCTGCGGCCGCTGCGTGGTCGACGACTTCTGGTGCGCGAGCGTGGGCCGCCGCCGGGGCTCCTCCGTCACCCTGCCGTTGTCGGCCGCGGCCGGAGCGGGCCGCTTCTCCGGGACGGCCTGCGCGGCGGCCTGCGCGGGGGCCTTCTTCTCCACGGTGTCCGCACGGGCCATCGGGCGGCGGGGCCCTCCGGCCTCGGCCTGGAAAACGGACAAAAGTATTAGTTTCTGGCGGCAGCACAGGACTCGCGGGCCAGGCACAAGAACGTGCAGTCCACGAGCGGGACCCACCCTCACACATTCACTGTACAAAATGGGACCATACATTCAGCGGAACGAACCTGGAGACAAAATTAAAGAGAGGTTCAGGTCAGCCCTTGGTACATTCACATTCCGGGAGTCTACACGGTCGTCGGCCTATCAGGAAGTAGGAACAGTTCACACAACTCCGTGCAGTCGGCACACCGTTAGGGGCAAGACAGGAGAGCGGCGTGCTGACATACAGTGGTGCATTCTGGACGAGGGCACGGCTTGGCCGCGTTTATTTTTAGTGGGTGCAATTTTAATGCCGGCGTGTCATCAAACAATCCTTCCTCGAGGAGGTGGGGGAGGGAGGGGGAGGGGTAGTCGTTGACCGGGCAGGCATGCCGGGCTGGCGGATGCTGTCCTCGCCGTGCACAACAACACCGACGTCAAGGATTTACGTCGTCGCCCTGGCAGTCCAGGCCCCCGTCTTCCTGGTCGTCTCGCCGCCACTGCGACGCCTGTTCGGCGAGCTCGCCGTCGACGTCGGGCTTGGGTACTTCTTCCTCGTCTACGGCGTGGTCCTGGTGCTGCACGTCGTCGTCCTCGGCCTGGCCCACGTCCTCGCGAGCCGTCTGCTGCATGTCCCGCCACCAGTCCGGCTCCGCGTCGCGCTCGTGGTCCTGCTCCTCGTCGTCCCACAGCGACGGCTGGTCCTCGATGGCCACCAGGTTGGCGAGGCTGGGCCTGCGCAGGGCCTCCTCGGCCTCGTCGTGGCGCCGCTCCATGTCCTCCAGCTTCCGCACCAGCGCCGACAGCCTGGCGAACGCGGCGAGCTGGGCGTCCTGGGGCTGCTCGTCCCGCTCGTCCGCCGGCCCCGAGCCCGGTCCCTGCAGGGGTGCCAACCCACGCGACAACCCGCGGCAAAGGTTTCAAGTAGACGCAGCACCAAGAACGCCCTCCCCATTCGAAATTTCCCAGGTCGTCATCAACCGCATGTGGGAGATACAAACAAGATGATGATTAATTCGACTAATCGAGCCCCACCCGCGTGGTGACGTCATCTTTGTTATGCCCGGCGCGCTGCTGTCGTCGTTGTGTCCCTGAGACACCAGCCACCCGCGCGCCCACACGGGGTTCATGCCAATTTTTCCCACCACGTCGAAAAATCGCCCGCATCTGCCTGTCTGGCCACCTCTTTGTCGATTGTCAATTTCAAATCCGACCAATCAAATTACTCGATAAATTAAACTGTTTGTTTGCCGTGACGGCCACGTGACTTACATTCTGTCCGTTCTCCTTGGGCGGCGGCGGCGCTGACTGGTTCGTGGGGTGTGACGGGATGATGGTGATCTTGCTCTGCTTCCTCACGGGGGCGGGCTCCTTAGCCGGCCCTGCCGCGTCCTGGGCCGTGTTGCTGGCCCGCTGCAACACACACAGCGTCCTGTCACCGTCGGGCTGCCCGTGTGGCTGGGAGTTGGAAGGGCGCGCGATCCAGGAGCGCCAGTTGTGGTCTAGCCCGTAATGGCAATGGTAATGGCGGGTAGGCAGCGCGTCGACACGCGTGTCCAGCATTGCCTACCCGCCGGGCGCTCTTCGCTCTTGGCTCGCAGCATGCTCGCAGCCCGCGCGGAGCCGCGGAGCGGAGTGCGTTCCATGTTCCATTCCGCGTGCCTCTCGTACTCACTCTGTTCGGCGACCAGGGCGCGGACGGCATGGGGATGGGCTGAGGTCCTTGCTTGACCCATGGCGGCCTGAAGGTGGCGCGCTGCGCCCCGCCCTGCTGCCCCTGCTGCTGCCCGGAGCCGCCCGCGCCACCGCCCCCGGAGCCTCCGGGGTTGTTCACCGGCATCGGAGCTTACGAAGACCGGTGGCCTGCAAGCCGAGGGCAGACCGTCAGCGCGTCAGGCGGTCAGTGTCCACCATCAGAGCGGCACCCCGGCCCGCCCGAACAAACGCGGAGGGGTAGGGGAGTGCGAAGAAGGAAGAATGGGCCAAGGCCGAGGCAGGAGGCGGGAAGGGTGTCCCCCTCCCCCACCCCCGGGACCGCGGTACCGCGGTGGGAGCTGGCCACCGACTCGGCGCGCTAAAGTTAGCTGGCCGCTCATTTCATCTGGTTTCTGCGTTGTTTCCATGTGGGTTGGCCCGTCGGGCCGCCGGCCCGCTCGGCCGTCGGACCCGGCTAGGGGGGCCTATTGAGAAACGAGCCTCCCCCGGCGTTGTCTCGGCGCCACACTGCCACAAGGGACATTGTGCTGCGCCTGCGCCGCTCACCCCCGACGACTCCGGCCTCGGGTTCGACTCCCGGCCGGAGTGACTCTCCATCCCCTCCTCCGCGCCACCCGCGTGCAGGAAGGAAGCGAGCGAAGCGACTTACATGAACCGACCGAAGACAGAAGCGTTACAGAGCGAGCGTTACACATGAGGGAGAGCGGCGGACTCGACGGCCTGCGGACAGAGAAAGCGTTACTCGTGACGTCGGCCAACCAGTGTGCCAGCATGCCGGAGTCTGGGGAGCCAGCCGAGAACAATTAGGAACGGTGTGAGGCGTCTGCTTCGAGTCTTCGAGTATTGTCTGTGAGATAACTGGGCGCTGGAGTTAAATGTTATGCAGTTAAACGTGTTGCGTTGTGTTAGACAGCAGTCAAATGGGATCCCCATACCCCCAGACAGATTTCAAAACGTGCAGTTCCCGGCAGAGAAAGTAGGTGAAGGAGGGTAAAAAAAAGGATGAAACAATTATTTTTCCCCACACGGTCGTTGGCTAGTGAAGAGTAGTGACTCTTTCGCGCGTAATAATATTCCCAGGCCGTGGAAATGGCGCCACAAACAAGATAATAAAGTTGGAATGAAAACAGATAAAAGCGGATTCAGCGGGATTTCAAACGTTTTTTTTTGTCAACCCTTGTCCAAATTTCGTCACGCTTATCTGCACCACCTTGGCCCAACCCAACACCTCTCGAGTTCTCGAATGCTGCCAACATAAACAGCTAGGAAATTTCAGTGAATATTTTTTTTTTCTCTTATTTAATTAAATTAATTTTAATTTTTAATTTAATGTTTGGAAGAATGTGAAAGCGCGCGGCTTTCGAATAAGCTGTGCTTGTGCAGTGCAAGTGAGTCAGCCTGACGTCATCTCCGGCCCGCGGTGACGCGCCAAACGCCGAATCCACGACGTCCTGCCGTCCGACCCCAACCCTCTTTTTGTTTTTCGCACAAGTGCCGCATCGGCTCTGGGCCCGCCTCGCTCGGCCCGCCACCCTGGTAGCCGCACACCGAGTCAACCGATGCGCGACCGACTGACATATATGCTGCATCTATTCCTGCTGCCTCCCTCCCCCTCTCAAACTCACCCCTCCCACCCGACAGTCCTAATCCGCCTCAATGGAGGCCCAAGAACCGATTGAAATCGACGCGACGCGGGGCGACACACCGCCCAGAAATTGTCCCAATGTTTTTAACAGCCTTGTGGGATGTCGTCGAATCCATTCCGCTCCGGGTTGCACTGTTGTGCAGGTCATACCCGGCTCACCGACGTTCGGACCGGCGTTCGGGACACTGCTAGGTTAACATTGAAAAAAATGACGGGGAGCGTCCGCTATTTCGGTGCGCCTAAAATAGACGGCGGCGGCCAGGGCGTCGGAAAATCGGGGGATCGCGCGGCCGCGGCCCGTCGGCGTCGTCGGCGTCGTCGCGGTGCCAGGGCCGCTCTGACGGCGAGCCGACGCCGGCCCGGCCCCGCGCCGCCACGCCGCACGCCGCCACGCCGCACTCGATGACGTTCCCGAGGATGAACGTGGCGCCGCGGCGGGGGGCGGGAGAGGGTTGCAAGTGTGCGGTTGTGGACCACATGGGGTGATCTGATGTCCTCCCTGCTGGCGAAACACGCGGGGGCGCGGCTTGCCGTGAAGCCTTGTCAGAATGCCCGAGATGGACGATTCCCACGACACTGCCCCCTTACACCGGCAGCCCTCGAGTGTGCTGGTCCTGTTGGTCCTGTTCGTGCACCGGGTGGGCGGGGCGGTCGGACTCTGTACGGACGGACGCCGCGGGGACTTGTTTACTGCACACTGTTTATGCTCGACCGCACAGGACGTCCGGGCCGGGCGAAAAGCATCCCAGCCCTGCCCAGCCCCTGGGCCCGACCATCGCAAGGCCGCCACTGGCACCACCATCGGGACGCCAGGGCACCGCAGGCACCCTTGGCCGGAGCTCCGGAGCACGCCGATGTGTACTCATGGTGTACTCGCGCGCCGCCGAGTCAACATCCACACCGCCGTGTTCGGAAGGGCTGGGCTAGACGCGGCGAATGCGCAGGCTTACCTCTGGGTTGTGCTGGGTGGCGCACCGCTCCCCTTCCCTGCCCTGTCCCTCCCCTGTGGTACTGCTGGGTGTTCGAATTGAACGCGGCGCGGCGCGCAAAGCCTCCCTTGGCGGGCAGACTCTCGGACAAGCCGACTGAAACTGCCCTGCGAACGGCCGCGGGCCGCGAGACGCCTGGCGCTGCTGGTGCTCCGCCAAACGACACGGCGCCGCCCCGCCCCGCCCCGCCCCGCCCCGCCGCGCCTCGTTCAGCCCCTCAGCGCCCTACGCTCCTCTCCGCGGCCGCGCTGCTCGCAGCTGGGCACAGCTGTACTCTCGACTTTAAGGGCTGCTACCCCCCCCCCTCCTCCGCGCCCTACCCCTGACCCGTTCAAAGTAGTTGTTTGTGATCAGCGTGGACAGAAGGAATACGGGTGGCTTGGTTCACTTTCCGCCCTTCGCGCGTGGCAAGGGCTCTTGGCCAGAGACGCAGTGAAAGTGAGAGACGTGAGATGACTTGCTCTTTTCTTCCTCCCGGTCACTTCTCTGCAACTTCAAGGGCGCTCTGAGCGAGAGACGACTTTCTTTCTTCCCCTTCGCGCCGACTCTCTGCTGGGGTCGAGCAAGTTGACGGGCTGCGTGGCGTTCTCCTTTATTCCTGGGTTGTCCTTTTCCGCTTTTTCTCTCCCGTTAGTCATCAAGGTTAGTCATCATCGTCACCACGCCGTCACCAACGCGTTGGGAGTCACCAGAGTCACCCTCCCGCGCGCTCGTTTTCCTCGCTTCGCGCTTCGGCGCACAGTGCTGCCACCGTCGAGAATCAAGCCGCGCGGCAGCACCGGCCGCGGAGGAGAGGGAGACAGGAACCGTGACAATATTCAAGACGTGTTCGTCCAATTCATCGGTCATTGCTCTTTTAAACAAACACTCTGGTGACTTGCTGTGGTTCTGCGAAGTCGTCGAAGCGGTCAAGGCGAGCGTTGCAGGTTGCCCTGCCTGTGCCCGACGCTGCCTTGAAGCAGCACGTTAGCGGTCCTTCGGAAGGCGGTGCTGCGTAAAAAATAAAAACACCGTCTGCTCGTCTGCTGTCTGCTAGACGTGAAAACCCAAAGCAAGTTCGTGATGCCCCTGCGCGTTCTCGTTGTGTCCGAGGCCCTCCGCGAGGCCCGCTGGGGCTGCGGCTGGTAGTGCCAGTGACGGGGTGGTGCGACGCGGAAGTGGGTCCGCGTACCGCGCATGCCGTGTGGGCTATGGAGGATGACTTGGAGGACCGCGTCCTGTACCAGACGTACGTGTCCCACATGAAGATCATGTCGCGGTTGAGCCTTGCCTTCCCCGGGGGCCTGGGATGGGGCTGGGGCGGCCTCGGCGCGGGCCATGCATGGCGCATGCTGCGGATCTACGTGCTGCGGCCCGAGGTGCTGGTCTGCGGTGCCGTCATGCTCCTGGTGCTGGCCTACCTGCAGGCCACCGACGCCTGGGGCCGCGGCGCCAGCGGCGGTTCGGCCCCTGTGCGCTCCCTGTTCGGCCGACTTCAGGGCCTCCAGTACCTCGTCAACGGCTCGGTCGGGGTTGGCGTCGCCTCCGGCGCTGAGCGCCTCAGCTGGGAGCTGCGGGAGGGAGAGGTGTCCGCGTACGCCGTCCAGGGCCGTCGGCCTAAGATGGAAGACCGGTTTGTCGTCAACGACAACATTGACAACACTGGGGTGGCCCTATTCGCTGTCTTTGATGGACATGGGGGAGAGGTGAGTTCTGCTGCTTTGATGTCGCATCGTTTCACATAAATGACATTCTTGCTATCACATGCAGAGGTCTCTTTTTAATCATGCTTATGCTTTTTCCAGTTTGCAGCAAACTTTGCCAAAGACAAGCTGGTTCAAAGCTTGAACGAGAAAGTAGCGGAGATTAAAAAGCTTGTTGCCGATGGAGGTGTTAAACGCCACCCTGTCTATGGAACGGTTTCGTCTACCCCTCCTAAAGGTTCCAATTCTGGGAATTGTACTCCAGAGACAGCAAAGAAAGCGGCTCCTGTTGAGAAGAAAAATAGCTTTCGGAAAACTATGAGTACATCTCAAACCGATGAATGTATGAAGAATACTGTGGGTGTAACTGATCCTGAGCTCTTGCTAAAACTGGATAGCATTCCTCGCACCATTACACGAGAAGTTCGCCCATCTATATCTGATGAGCTTGTTCCTACAAGAGGGCCAGCTTCAGCATATGTGGATAGTTCAGGTGTAATTAATTATGGACGGTTGCTCACCGATGAGGTCCTCGCTGCCGATTATCAACTTGTTGAAGCTGCAAAGAAAACAATGGATGTTGCAGGTATATTCCAATATGTAATGTACTTTGTTGATTGCTGGTGTCTTGGAGCCTTTTAAGATTTCATATTGCGTCTCCTAGGAACTACTGCGCTTATTGCATTGCTGGAGGGCTCTCGTCTGATTGTGGCCAATGTGGGTGATTCTCGTGGTGTAATGTGTGATAGTCGAGGAAAAGCTATTCCACTATCTTTTGATCACAAACCTCAGCAGGTATGGAACTTGAAATATTTTTCTTGAAAGGCTGTTGTATTATGTTTGTAAGTCATAACTTGGATTATTTAATTTCATTTTTATTTTCTGGATTTGCTCAGATGCGAGAGAGGAAACGAATCAAGGAAGCAGGAGGTTTCATCACTTTTAATGGAGTGTGGAGAGTGGCAGGAATTTTAGCTACTTCTCGTGCACTGGGTGATTATCCGCTTAAAGACAAGAAGTTGGTCATTGCAAATCCTGACATTCTTACCTTTGACCTTAGTAACCACAGGTACATGTATTTTACTGCCATAGCATTGTTTTTCATTTAATTATTTAGCATGGCACACCATCTGATGTTTCCAATAAATCATTTTTCAGGCCTCAATTCATTATTTTAGCATCAGATGGATTGTGGGATACCTTCACCAATGAGGAAGCTGTAGCTTTTGTCCGAGAAAGGCTGAGTGAGCCTCACATGGGTGCTAAGAGCTTAACACTTCAGTCTTATTATCGAGGTTCTCTTGATAATATTACTGTTGTTGTTATTAATTTAAAAGATCGCCAGTGGAATTCAACTACTACTGCTCAGCCCAAAACAGCTTGAAGAAATAGTGTGGCTCTTACTACGTATAATTGTGATACAAATCAAAGAGTTAGCTTTAAGCTTGTCAAAAAAATTTCAGCTTCATGTTGTTGTTTTTTTCCTGTTAAGATTTCAAATTTTGTTAGTAGAATAATATTTATTGATCTTTCATTAAGGACCTGCATTCATGTCTGCACAATAAGGTTGTGAATATGATCTTTTGTCTAATTTTAAACCAACTTCTGCATGAACTTCATATAAAATGTCAGTATTTCATGACCATGTTTTATGGAGTTTGATTTAATGTTGATTGTTCTTTACTTATGCATTTAAATTCATTCAAACACGTTTTGCCACAAATTGCTCAATATGTTTTAGTGTGATTTAATGTCACCTTTGGTATTTTGTACTGCTGATACATTCATGCTCCCCTTCCCAGCCATCAGGGTCCATACGGTCCCCAAGACCTACCAAAAGGGGGAGGGGGTAAGCAAGGAGTGTGTAAGAACTATGAAAAGGTGTCTCATTGAAGAGTTTTGTGTTGTTATTTGAGGAGGAATTTGATCCACCAGAAGATCGTTTGCAAATGTCCGTCCATATTATGGTGAAGCAATAAGCTGAGTATTTCAGAGATGGTTCAATATTTTACACCGAGTATGACTTTGGCTTTTAGCTGAATTACTTGTCCTAGGACTGCAGTTGTCATAGTGAAAATGTGCCTCTGACTTTGGTGACCGAGAAAGAGAAGCATGCTTATCAGCTGTACCCGCAGCAACAAACCATGTTCTTAACTTTTTAAATAACGTTGGAATTAAGAGATCTTCACTTCAACAGTAGATAATTCATGCTCACACCTATGAATTGGTTTGATGATTTTTTTTAAAATTTGAGCCATGCTTATTTGATTTTACCCTACTGCATCCCTGCACTTCGAAGCGTAGCTAGCATATGTTAATATATTGAATCTGAGCTGCACTTTAGTAGTTTTTGGTTTTTTAAGTGCCAAAGATTTTCTTATTGACACTATTTGTCGATATTTTCATCCTTTTTTAGATTGCCCACATGTTTGGCCACTCAAAAAACATTAAATGTGATACATACAAGTGATCTTTAAGATAACTGATCAATTTGGGACCCTTTTTTTTTTCTCTGAGACTTCTGACAGAGGAGGTTGTGATTAAGATTTATTGGTGTAAATGAAGTCAACTGATTTATTCATGTATTGTCTGTGTTACTAATTTTCAATGCAAGCCTTTTTCTTACAACTTTGTTGCTGTTTTCTAGTGTGATTTCAATTTGTAGGTAATCAACAGGCGCTGTGGAAGTTTCTCGCTCATGGCAGGAATATGTACATGAGTGCAGGTCTGCTTATTGCAGCCGTTGGTCAATATGCCCTTTGTGAGAAACTTTGAAATGTAACATTTGAGAAATAAATATTTTTCTGTGCCTGATCATTATATTTTCCTTTTATTTCTCGACTTATTGAAAGGGTGACAGGAAGTAAAATGAAAGGCAGATTATTAGCAGTCTGTAATCTTTGTATTAGATTGATATACTTAGGATACACACCTTCAAATGCATACCAAATATACCTCAACACAAAAACTTTTGCGGACAAAATACAAAATTCTGGAATTGCAGAGACATTTACAACAAACCCCTAAACAGTTAACTACAGGAGCCCCAGAGAGGAAGCGTAATTGAAAGCCAGATTTACACTTATGCAGATGATCAGAAAAAGATAAACCACACAACTGTTACTTTCACCATTGAAGTATGTAGGAATTGGAATCAACTGTTCAGTCATATGATTCATTTTAAGTGGATTACAAAAGCTAATGCAGAACAAATAAAAAGCTCAGCCCTTCAAGAGAACTGATGTATTTGTTGTTGGCAAAACAAATCCTGCTACCAAGATGCAGTAAAGCACAAAGCAATGTGAATCATTGATTTTGCACTAAATTAGATGCAATCCATGTAAAAAACGCAACATACTAGGAAACAACATCAATGTTAGCTGAACAACTGTCAGATGAAAAAGAAACAAACCCAATCACAAATAATAATGAATGGTTGTTTTTTTTCTCTTAACACTAGCTTGAATCATTGGCTTACAATTTGACAAAAAATTTGAAATTTCATGATTGCTGTTGTAGCATGCCCTTTGCTTAGAAATTAAGTTAAAAAGAAAATGCTGTCTCCACAGATCCTAAATAAAACAACCAAGTTTCATACACCCAGCTTTTGACTGAACCACAGGGCAGATGAAGAGGTATACATAACCAATAGTGTTAATATGACTTTCAATCTAGGCAAAGCAAGCAAGAACGTGAGAATAGAGGCTTATTCAACTGATTACAATATGGAAGGCAATTAATGCCTAATAATGGAACTAGTGAAATGACTCCATCACAGCTCATTTTCTTTTTCTTGAGGCATCTGATGAAGCCCAAGAAAACAAAGAAAACAACTCCATATAAATATCAATATATGTATATATATTTTTATATATACATACACCTGTATGTATTTTTATAAATATATGTGCATACCAAAAAAGACCATGATTCAGTTTCGAGAATCATTGGGAGGTTTAAAACAAGAACGCAAAAACCACATGATAACAGACAGCACAAGAATTAAGAAAACAAATTTTTCAAAAAAGTATCAAACAGTCTAAAACTTTTGCAGCGCCTAACTATGATTTGCAGCTCTTTGGATTGAATGAGGCAGAATGCATCCCACTAATTGGTTCTAGGATGTTCCTCATAAAATTAAAAAAAGGCTTTAGAATTAGATACTTTCTAGTTAACCATATTAAATTTATGCATACAACTAAACAGATTAGAAATTATTGCACTTAATTCTAAGTCAACCCTGAAATTTGTCTTCACAGTGTATTAGTTTCTCAAGAAAGAGAGAGGGAGAGATAAAGAAAAATTTGCGAAAAAGATTTTTAGTACAAATGTATCAAACAAACCCGAAATTTTTTTGTCAAATGTTAGTGAAGTAAAGCTTCTCTGGAAACAATCTTATTCACACAAATACTGTGTAAGGCACCATCTCCATAAAATCATAGATCAATCTCTTTTGTACTTTGAATTATGATAAGATTATAATAAACTACTTTTCTCTCAGAAACTTGCCAATATACAAAATGTGAAACAGTACACTGTACATTAAAGAAAAAAAAAATAACATAATAGTATCTTAATTCCTACAACAGCACTTCAGTGCATGGAGAAGAACTCCAGGTCAAAACATTGAAACCACCAAGTCTTCATTCTCATACCATAAGAATCAAACCTTACAACAATGATAGGATGAGGGTGCTACCGTAGGGAGATGATCACCCTAAGGGAATTATCATTGGACGGATGTGCAAAAGCAAAACAAAAACGTGCATAAAGATACAAACAAAAATATGGATCGAACTGCAGGGTTTTGTTTCAAGACTAGATTTAAAGGGCAAAATGGCATCTGTGGCATGTCTCAAATTTACAACCCATGTTAAGGTGCAAAAAATTAAGACTGTTTCCTGGAAGTAGACTAAATACACCTGGCGGCTATCAGAAGTTCTTTTAGACAATCAGAAAAAAGAGAGAGAGAGAGAGAGAGAGAAAAAAATAAAGAGAAAACAGTAGAAGGAATGTAACATAAGTTCCCTTCATGAATGAAACTTAATTAGCTACATCACAAACCACAAATGAACAGTCATACCAACAGAAACAGAAAAATAAAGGTCGGAATTGTTCTACATGGGACTTTTTGCTTTTATTTGTTGCCTTCCACAATTCTTCCTTTCTGAAGGCAGTGTGCTGGTTTTAGAGTCATAAATCTAGTGCAAATATAATAAGGGCCGATAACAAATATAGTGTGTTCAGAAAAAAAAAAAACATATGAAAACTCTACAAGATATAAATAATATACAACTATGTATATAAAAATGCATCATGACTTACTTCGGGTCATGTCATGTCTTTCATAAAATGTGAACGAACTGGAAGAGGAATGGGTAAAACAAGGGGATGGTGTAACAATGCTTGAATAGGTACTGGTTGCTGGGGCGGAGGGGAGTGCCCTTCAGGAGGATGCTGCAGGTGGGTGCGAATCGCATCATCTTGGGCTGGTTGCTGTGAATTCGTAGATGTTGGCAGCTGTGATGGTTGAACAATTGGAGGTCCTGGTTGCTGGTTATGGTTACCCTGAGCTTCAGTAGTATGTAGTCTCACGTGTCTTGCGAGACGATGACTCTGAACAAAGCGTTTACCACATTGAGGGCAAGCATAAGGACCATTCTTAGCATGAGATCGAAGATGCCTCTCTAACTTGTGGCGTTCACCAAACATTTTGCCACATGTTGAACAAGGGTATGGTTGCTCACCTGTATGTATTCGCATGTGCTGAGTCAAATTATGACTTTGAACGAAAGACTTGCCACAGGTGCCGCAAGAATAGGGTCGCTCTCCTGTGTGAGATCGCAGATGTCTCTTGAGTTTGTGGCGCTCCATAAACGATTTGCCACAAATGGCACAAGAATAATTGCGCTCTCCAGTATGAAGCTTCATGTGATCAAGCAAAGTATGACGTTCTATGAACGTTTTACCACAAGTTTCACATGAGTATGGGCGCTCACCAGTGTGGACCTTTACATGGCTCTTCAGCTTGTGGTGCTCAGCGAAGCCACGGCCACAAGTTGTACATGAGAAGGGCCTCTCTCCAGTGTGTGTTCGCATATGCCTTGTCAAACTATGATTTTGAATGAAAGCTTTTCCACAAGTAGAGCATGGATAAGGACGCTCACCTGTGTGAGTGCGCATGTGTCTGGTAAGACTATGATTTTGAACAAAGGAGCGGCCACAAACATCACAGGAGAACGGATGCTCTCCTGTTAGAGCTTTCAGATTATACATAGCAGAAGCTAAGCAGTTGTTGGGTGGTTTCGACAAAGCAGTGGCACCAAGACTATTAAGTTCATTGAGAAGGTGTTCCTCTCTGGAACTAGATCCTTGACTTGGATTGAACTGCTTGTTTTTAGATGCACGATCTTCGTCTGCATCTGCTTCAGTGGCCTCCTGCTTCATCTGCAACAAAACCAAATCAAGCATGAAACATGTAAATGGACATAAAAATGAGGGAGAAAATAATTAAATTCCATAGATGAGCATGATAACGCCAATGAGAGCACAGATCTTTAAAAACCACTTACAAGATTAACTTGTTGATATGCCACAGCTGCTCCAGCTGTGGGTGTAACTTCGGGTTCTTGAGATTCAGGCCAATTAGGCCGCTTGGTCAAAAAGTTCTAAAATAATCAAGAAACAAAAAAGACTTAAAAAAGTTCATAAGTTAGACAAGTAAAATATACCAGTAATTTACTCACCGCTACATGATGCTCTTTAGCAACGAGGACAACAGGATGCTCTGTTCCTGGAGATAAATGAGAAGATGAACTGGTTTCCTCGGCAACCATTTCACGAGGGGCAGGCTACATAAATACAAAAGAAAGATTTTTTGTCATCATAACGTTGAAAAACAAACCAATAAAAAAAAGGCAATCAGATTATTAAATGCTTGTTGCATACCCTGCTGCCATGTTCTGGTTCGACATTTAACATTTCCACTTCTGCTGGGGGATTCGCACGGACTGAAGCAGTCCGCTTTCCACGCAGTCGCTGAAAGATACACATAGCAATAAATAAATATTAAAGAGGTATTAGAAATAAAATCCAACATGTAGTACCATATCCATCGAATGCGCAACTTGCTAATTGAAAAAAATATTCGTAATTTGCACAAAATTCACCTGAGAATGAGATATAAGAGGGGGCTGGATTTGTTGATCAAGCTGCTGCTGCTGCTCTAGCAGTGACTCAGAATGTTGATGATCTGATGGCTTCAAGTTAAAATGCCTGCGCAAAGTGGCATCAGAGCGCTGACACTGAACTCTAAACTTATATGCCTGGTCCACTTGATATTGGCAACGAAGGCAAATAAGAGGAGGCAGACCATCTCCTGCATGAACCTAGAAGAGAAAATTGAAATAATACATTGAATTTGAACAGACATCCATTATTCACCATCTTTGTATGGGAACAAATTTAAAAGGAATTAAATAAATCTGACAGGAGGAGGGGTCTGGATACCCATAAATGCAGGCAAAAAAGCTATGATAAGCGTATTTTCTTAAACTGAAGAAGGATACGTAGAGAGAAAAAAAGAGGAGAGATGCCAATTACAATGAACACTTTTAAAATACCACCTATGCCAAAAATAATATCTAGGACATGAAACAGAAATCTACAAGCCATCTATAAAAGATAAAAGTAGAGGAGGGAGAGAGATCCATCCTGCAATCAGAACTGATCTAGATGCAGTTGCAGTATCAAGCTATAAAATTTCAGCTTCATGCCACTAATTGACAGTTCTTTCTGTGTGCTTTGCAACTATGTATGCTGAGCACAAAGCAGTCCATTGAATGAATTCAATACCCCATTTACAATATAAAAATTATAAAGCCAATACTGAACATGAGGACTTGGGGAAAGAACAGGTACTGAATACATCTTTCCACTTTGCTTCACCTAATTCCTATCCGATAGCATATGAATTGAAACATGGACGACACACTGGCCACACCAAGCACATTTAAAACATCCCACAGAGCATGAAAAAATGCAACAATGCTTAATTTGCCCAAAACATCACAAAAAGAGAGCATTGAACCCAAAATTTAATCTCAAGTAAATTGGGAGACAGTGATTAATCATGAACCATTCATCAATGACATTTAAATCACAAACTATAGAACAGAACATTGCGTGCTGCACGGTGCTCTACTTCCCTCAGGCAAATCGTGCTCATTGCAAAGCAGAAACTTTGGACATCTTTTCCAGGGATGAAAAGACTCTGAAAATCATATGCATTTGAGCGCACACAACAATCTCACCTCAAGAGAGGCGCACGTCATAATCCTAGTCGACAGAGATGTACCTCCCTCTGTTGAATCATCTTCCCCGCCAAATATGGGCACCCCAACCCCCTCCTCCGAGAGACATAGGCGGCAAATATCTCTCATATTCGTGTTCATAACGACGGCTGGTTCCATCGCCTGCAAGGCAATACAAGAGCAGACTACCCACTCTGCACACCAAGCCAGAGCCAGAGGGCACAATGGAGAGGTTATTACACGGGTGAACGGCCAACGCTATCTCGAGCATCGAGAAGCAAAATACAAAAAACAGTACAAAATAACACTTACAGACGCGGTGAAAGAGCTCAATGTGCGCCAAGCGTGCGCACAGAGAGGAGTATAGACGAAAGAAAAACACAGTCTGCTAGGCGTGAGTATTCATCATTGTCCGTTGTCTCACCACTTGCGACGCTTTCAGGCACTCTAGACACAGAGGGCGCAAATTTTGTGAAGCGATATGTCTCCGAGGGTGCGAATTCTTCAAGTCTACGGCCGGTTCCACTGCAAACTTATGTTTTTGCCAGACAAAACACCTAGGCGCAGCATAAAGCCAAATCCACACCACTCCATCCACCGCTAACGCCCGCAGCCGCAACGAACCGCAACCTCTCCGCCTTGTAGAAATGCACGGCTCCGATTCAGCCTACGTCATCTGTCACCTCGGGGCGGGGATCAAGAGAATTTCAAACGAGAAAATGGTACGTGCAATCTACTGCAATCTTGGGGAAGCTTTTCACGGGGTGATAAGTGGCAAGTCATGAAATACAAACAATATAATATATATTTATTGATATTTAAAGATATATATAACTTCACAACATATGATAAATAAATCTTTTGATCACATAAAACTATTATCCAAGTAAAGTTATGTAAATGGTAGTATAATTCATAATTCAGTCTGAATCTGACTTGTCATCTTTTTCTTCTGCAGGAGGTTGATCATCCTTGTAATGTCTATATTCTGGTTTCAATTCCCACATGTTCTTGTGGGGATTTTTTATGTTATAATCACAGACTTCCTTCAGAATTTCCTTAAGATATGTCTAAAATGATAGGGTAAAGAATCCATGTAATTCCTCAAGGAAAAGGTCAGAGACAGCAGAAAAAGTCATTTAATTACATACCACAGGCTGCTTGGTAATACGAACGAGATCTTTTATATTGTAATACTGATGCTTTTCAAATGCTGCAAACATCATGTCTAGGACAGCATTCTTATCATCACGAGCCTTCTTGCCCTCAGCTTTCCTTTTCTCTTCAAACTCAATCTGGTAAAGAAATTCTACCGTTAATGACAATTGCAAACATTCAGCAATTTTAAAAAGTAACAACTTACATTGTGCTTATGATTGGAAACAGGCTTATAATTCTGCACAACACGATCCAATTGTTGGACCTTGCGGGTAGGCTCCGCTGCTTTCCGAAAAGTCTCAAGTTTCAGTCGCATATATCCTTTATCAGCTATAAAACAAGGCATTGAATTTGAAACACTTTTTTAAGAAAGGAACTGAAACAAACTAACAAAAGTAGGCCTCATACCATAAGGCCTGCACTCAAGTTTCTGCTGGACTCGTCCTTCTAAGCTAAGCTTTTCAGTCTCAGGAACTACAGCATCTGAATTCGAGGCTGAGCAAAGGAAAAAGAATTACAAAATATTAAAAAACATACAGAAGACTCCAAAAGAAAACACAAGGGCAAGGGGAAAACTAGCAAAAAATAAGCCACTTACGAACAGAGTATGAAAATACACCCAGCATCTGCCGTTCTACAATTTGCACATCTAGGCGATGGTCCTTGGGTATGGGCAACTGCCCTGCTTCTGGAGCAAGCATGGAATCTGCCATAGCAAGAGATACGGCAGCCTTCTGTCCAACACTCCTAAAGTTTCAAAAAAATAATGCAAATTTTGAAATCAAAAGTAAGTAAAATTGCGGCTATAGTTGTCACGACCTTCTAAGTTCAAAACCTACTTGGATATCCTTAGCTTCCCAACTTCAATATTTCCAGGGGCCTTGTCCCATTTCTGGCTTATGTATTTAGGAACCTGTGAAATTCATAGGACACAAAATTATTGTGAGCAATTGCGCTAGCTGACATACTTGACCAACTAGTACACATACTTTGACAAGCCACACGCCACGAGAATTATTAGACAGGTCAAGTTCCTTATCAGCGTGAGGTGCGCTTGAAGGTGTGGAAGTCATTCTTTATGGGACCTGAGTGAATGATCGTAATATTTAGTTTAAATGGACACTAGTCCCACGGCTAACACAGCAATGGATGACTAGGGACCGCCAACTCGACAATAAATGCGTGTAAATTATAACATCTGATGCCTAGCAGTACAAAAGTGTGTGCACTAAATCATATCCAGTTTAGAGGCGCGACCAAGAATGTGTTAAACCTAAACTTTCTCCAACACCTGTCCGGGGGTCCCCAGAGGTTATAGCCACGATGGTTGGTTGTCAAAACACCACCAGCCTCGTCATCACCACACCACGTGATAGTTCAACATGAGGAAATGGGAATATGACGTTAAGAGCAACTAGCAGCTCCATACGAAGTTAAGTTGATGGGAGGATCTGATTGCAATTGCGGACGATTGTTTGTAATCCGAAATGGATAAATAGGGAAGTGTACTGATTACTGCCATGACATAGCAAGGATTATGACGATTTCAAAAGAGCGAGCACTTTGCCAGGATCTTGGCCAACTACATGGGGAGAAATTTCCGTTTCAAATGAACTGCCTTTAGATGTATCTGTACGAAAAATCCCAAGATGAATTAGTTTCCTTGTCCTTAAAAACTCAAAAAAAAAATTATTATTTATCTGTTAATTGTCAGTGAACCTTACTTCTACAATGATTTCACCAATGTCGCAACTGCGTTGGTTGGACAGACTGGCCAGATTGTCATTTGTCATGAATGTAAAGGTCTGACGTCTGCGTCTTCGCCGCTGCTCGTATTTATGTAAGAGTCTGCTTAATTTCGTATTTAATTCTGTGTTCAGTCCAAAGAATGAAAATTTAGCCGTCATTGTCATCGATTCCAACACTTGAGTGTCATTTGAATTTCGTCACTGGTCGCATCAGCTGTCGTTGACCAATGTGTGACAGAGGTTTCGTGTCCATCGCACCTACCTAGTTTCCAGCTCCTAGATTTGATAAATTGGAACAGCAGCCTAATGACAGAGCCGTGTACTACACTTATTGATTTTCATTAATGAGCGGTTTTGCTGTGCTTCAGATTTTCATATACCAGGTGGCATGAATAATGATGAAATATGAGCTTCTCAAGAGCATGTAGGGTTAATCAACTATTTGGCTGCATATCAGAATGGGCAGGAAGTTGACAATAATGAAATGGTTGCCCCAGCTGCGATGCAGCATACCCCACCTTTCAATCCCTCTTGTGTCCCTAAGTTTAGGTTTATGTACGAAATTCCCATGTACTGATCAAACATAATTGTGCTGTTTCATTGTACGCTATTGTTGTCAAAATACTTTTTCCTTTTTAAGTTCTCTGAAACGAAGATTTACTTTGTCTTGAAGAAGAGTTGCAAGATTTCAACATAACAATATGTGAAGTTTATTTTGTTTTTGTTCCTCAAGGCACCTTAGTTTCAAGGACAGCTTTCTGCAACATTGAATCATATAATGGTATCCAAGAAAAACAATGCGAACTCATCTAACAAATCGAAAGCAAATGCTGGAGAAGCAGCATTCCTGCAAACTCTCAATAAAGAACAGCTGAAGCGAGAACTGAAACGTCGTGGAATAAAGACTTCTGGCAGCAAAATTGAATTGGTATGGTTGTGAATGACCACGTATTTAGTTGCACACGCTTTAAAGCACAGATTTACTTGTGCATAATGGATATTGATTCCAGTATTTAGTTGTATTTGCATTCAATACACCCAAGAAAATATGAGCTATGGCTGGATTTGTGCTTCGTAGAGCTCTTTTGAAGTATTTGTCAATCTGGTTTGAAAGATTTGTAAGATTGTTGAAGAGAAACCCAGGTGTTTTCTCCAATGGTTGCTGTGTTAAGAACTCTTTGTATCTGTTCAACACCAGTTGTGATGATGACCCTGTTCTTTCTCCTCAGAAGTTGCTTTTCCACGCGAGTGGCCCTCTTCTTTCAAAATGAAGGAAATCTAAATCGATCTCTGCTTGGGGCTCAGGCAGAATCCAAGGTACAGAGGGAGAACTTAATTATTTCTGGCAAGCTCTTTTTATTTTTGTCTTGTAGGCTGTTTTCTTTAAATTTTCATACTTTCACAACAAGCAGATTACAAGTTAGATCTAGAATTTGTCACCTCTTGAATAGATCTAGGTAGACACAGAGCAAATTCACTTTCTATCCTGCTAATGTTGATTGTTAAATTGTTTAATTATATACTAAGCTTTGAAAAAATTAACTACAGTTTCAATGCAGGAGAATTTCATCTTAGAGCAAGATGATAAAATCATTAGTGGAATGTTCTTTTGTGTTCACAATATTACTAGTGGAATACTTAGATACCTAGGTAACATTTTCTTTTTAAAAAAATGAATAAGAAAATTGTTACCCACATGCTTTTTCTTTCTCCTTTTCTTGTCATTCAATTTTCTTTTCCTGTTGCACTTCTTTACCCAAGCAGTTTATCTCTTCCACCATTCCCCTCTCCCCTCCCTCCCTGCCCCCTTCTTCCTCCCCTCCTTTTGGCTTCATTGGCTATCAGGTCATCTCCCACATGGCTGGCATGTTTATTCCTAGTGACCTTTCATCTCATATGGAGTTGTTCACCCCTAAGCTTGTTCACTTTGTATCAATAAGATAGATTGGTGCTGTTCAATGCTTTAATAATAGGATTCTGAATTGTAAGTCTTGAAATACTTTTATTGTAGATATGTTGCCGGTTTGTTTGCCGGTCAATCGACATGTTTCCGGTGACTATGTAGTTGTAGAATGTGAAATTGAGGAAGATGTTTCTGCTACATCTGATGTAGGTATCTTGTTTTTTGCATGTTTTGATAATGGCTTTTTTACTCTATTAAACTTGATTACCTTTTTAATTGATATTAAGTATGACATCCTTATTTGTAGAAACTTTTATAAAAGGAATCATATTGGTGCTGAGATATTGAAGGATCAAAGCACTCTTTGTTATTATAGATGGAGCTTTCAGTTTCTTCCTCGTAGTCTTAAGGCACTTTATGTTCGCGATTCACTCAATCCTTGTTTGAATTTTGTTATCTCTTTGCTATTTGTTTTTGTCCTTTTCTCATACATATTGCAATTTTTCAGCTTGACTTGTTTGCACCCTTGCCACTATGTGATTCCTGTTAGACTATGTGTTGAGTTACAAGTTTTTTGGTTGCGCATATTTTTCACCAACATTTTGATAATTGTTGCCTTTTGACTTTGTTGTTACAGCTGCAGCGGTTGTCCCACAACATGTCTGCTCCACTTAAGCGAAGGAACGAAACTGTGCCTGGAAGCCCTCCATCCGTTGTCACTTCTTCTGTTAATCACCATAAATCGAATGGTGATAATAGCACAATCGGAATGAGCCCTCCTGTAGAAGACAAAGTTCGTGAGATGGAAAGAGCAGAACGAGAATCTTTAGTTCTCTGGAGAAAACCTTTGAAGACTCTGAACTATTTCAGTAGAGAGTTGTGGATTAACGTGATTACTTATGCTCAAACGTAAGTGCTTTTGTAACTCTGGTTTTACCTGAATTTTTACAGTGTTTTGGTGTGTGTCTGAGCTTGGCTCCTTTCGTTTAGATAATTCTCTTCTTTTTTTTCCTTTTCAGTCTTTTTAAACATCGAATCACAGTTTTTGTCAGCATCCTAGTTTGTGCAGCGTTCTATGTGCTCTACACCATTCCAGGCCCTCACCAACAGGTATGAAAATATTTCTATTTTGGAGCTTTATGTACATTTAAGATAACTCGTCACTATGTTTGGAGGTTGGCAATGGTTTTCTCTCTGTGAGCTATCAGTACCAGCAACATTTCACAGGCTTCATAGACAAAAATATAGTTGTCATTTTTCAGGAATAGTGAGAGGTTTATCTTTGAGTCCATCCTGAAGTTTTCTCACTTAACACTTCTTTTTCCCTGTCCTTTGTTTTGCAGTACATGCAAGCAGGAAAATCAGAAATTTCATGGTGTTTATACTGGGTGGGATTAGGGGTACTTTCTTCTGTAGGACTTGGTACAGGTCTTCACACATTTTTGCTGTACCTTGGGCCACATATTGCTAGTGTTACTCTTGCTGCCTATGAATGTGGAGGTCTGAATTTCCCTCAGCCACCCTACCCTGATGAGTAAGTACTATCATAACCTTTAATTAAAAATTGTGTAAGAAGAAACTAAAACTTTTCCTTTTTTGTTCAGAATTGTGTGTCCTACAACTGTGGATCCCAGATGGGCCGCCAGCATCTGGAATATTATGAGCAAAGTACGCATTGAGAGTATGATGTGGGGAGCTGGTACAGCTTTAGGCGAACTTCCCCCTTACTTCATGGCTCGTGCAGCCCGGTTATCTGGATATGACCCAGATGATGAGGATGACCTTGCGGAGTTTGAAGAGCTGCAGCGTAAAAAAGAAAATCCGGAAATGCTGGTTAGTGCTTTTCAAACTGTGCTAGTTCATTATCTTGGTAAGATTCTATTTCGTCTTATCATCAATCATTGACTTTTACAGGATACAGTTGACCGACTCAAAGTTTTTGTGGAAAAGCTTGTTGAGAAAGTAGGCTTCTTTGGAATTCTGGCATGTGCTTCAGTGAGTGGCATTTCTTTGCGTTGGTTTAATTCTTTAACACCTTCCTGCTCTTTCAAGCAGTAACATGCATTAAAATGTTGCCTTTTGCCTTGCAGATTCCTAACCCATTATTTGATCTTGCTGGTATAACTTGTGGACATTTCCTTGTCCCATTCTGGACTTTCTTTGGTGCTACTTTGCTGGGAAAAGCAGTAATAAAAATGCACATTCAGAAGGTGTTTGTGATTGTGGCGTTTAATGAAACTCTACTTGCACGAGCTGTAGATCTACTAGGAAATATTCCTGTTGTTGGTCCTCGTTTGCAAGAACCGTTCTCAGCATTCCTTGTAAAGCAGAAGGAACGTTTGCACAGGGAAGGTGGAGATTCATCTTCAGGATCGGTAAGCTCTATTTCTACTGAGCTCAGAAATTTTCATCACATGGTCTGATATTTCTTATTAATGTACTTGACTTGCTTTCTTGTGTCCAGGAAGGAAATATTTTGTCTGCAATATTTGAGAAGTTTGTCGTGGCTATGATCATCTACTTTGTGGTTTCTATCATAAACTCACTTGCCCAGAGCTATCATAAAAGACTCCACTCCAAGTCAAAAAGGACCACCAAGAAGTCTAAGGACTAATGTGCCAATGCTTGTTTCACCTCCCTTCCTCCTTTTGAAAAAAAAAAATTCTTCAGTGAATATAATTTTATTTTTACAAGATTTTTCACTGTGTTTGTGGAAGTACTATTCCTATTCCTCAAATCATCTTGTGATCTTATAGCTTGTATAGGAATTCTCAACTTAAAATAACATTGTTATGACAATTCATCGTCAAGTCTAGTGTATTTCTGAAAATGTATAAGCTGTACATTGTGTAGAGATACATTTTGCCATCAACCAGTTCAATTTTGAATGGTTATTTAACTTTAGTTATGTTGTACAATGTCAGTTAAGAATTATGGTGCATGCTTTAATTAACAATAGTTTCTCTAAAGACGTACAGACTTCAATTAAGTCTAACTTTTAAAAGAATAAAAATACCTAAGTTCAAGTTGAAGGGATGGTCTACCATAAACTTAAGTGTGGTTTAAGAGGTCACATAAGAAATGTTATGTCTGGTAATTTCTTGTTTTTAAAAAAATATTTTGGAAATATTGGTGAAAAGAGTCTTGTGGAAAGAAGAGTTTTGTAACTTCAGTACATATAGAGCTTGCTGGGCTTCTTATGTTAATTTTTTTTAATAATTTTTTTTTCTTTTTTAAGATGGAAATGAAATCTTTAGTGCCCCTTTTTTAGGTTGTTTGGTGGGATCAGATTTTCATGAATGTGTGGGTTGGTATTGGGGCTTTGAGGCAAATTAGGATCTCTATAAACCAATATGAAGATATTTTTTATTGAAATAAAAAATGGTTGATACACCTTGTAAGAAAGTGCTGTTCTGAAAAGGAGTTCTCTCTAGTCTGATTTAGAAGTAGCTCTGTTAATTTTATTTTAAGTGAATACACTTAGGCTGTGGCCTTAAGTCATGTGCTCATTTGAGTGCACAGTCAAAACATCTGTCCAACCATCCATTTGTGCTGCTGCTTTGGGTTATAAATGACAATAGAACGTGAATTTTGTGGAGTCTGATAATGATGTTCACAGTGCTTATTTAGTTATTCAAAATACTCAATTCTTTTCATTATCATTTTAAATTTCTCACCTTAAATCATAATTGACATGAACTGTGTGACAAGAATCTTTCAGAACTGTTTGAATTCTTATTTTGCTTTCTTCAAGTAATTTGCACTATCTCACTTTGAAAATGTTTGCCGCTATATACGCTGATCTTGCGTCCGATGGACTGAACTGTGTTAACAGATCTATAATACGTTCTTCTTCATATTTGACAGTTTATTTGAATGTGATATGAAGATTAACAAAACCCTAACACCTGGGTGAGGTGATACTGTGTGGCTTGTAATTAAGGCCACTATATTCCTATTATTCAACATTGTTTTGTTGGTGAAAAACTTGTACAAGGTGTAAGGGTTTCTATACGCCTTGCTCTGATATGTGATACAAGTTGTTTCTTAGTTACCCTATGTGTAAATAAGAGTTCAGAATATCTTTCTTTTGTTCAAGCCTTCTTCATATACAGGATGGTGGTATTAGTACATGTGATTTTGTGGTTACTGTTTTCTAGGGGTGTAACAATACAATAAATTATATCATATATATGTGTATGTATGTGTGTGTTTCTATTAGGGAAGTGATAGTCTCATTCCTGAGAAAATTTCGTATTTTTTCACAGTGTTTGCTCAATGTCACTAAATGGGGTTTCTGTTGGGGTCTCTAACTTTCACCATAACCAGCCAAGTCTCTGAAAGGAAAGTGCATATTCAAGAAGAAAACTTTTGGAGCAGAACCTCTGCTTTGAAGATTACATACATCTTTATGTAGGGTCCATATCTCAGAAAATTGAATGGGCTGTATTGTTACTCATTTTTATTTGAAGTGATGTCTTCCAAATTAACTGGTGGGGAAGCCACTTTTAAAATATAATATGAAAGGTTTAACTAAGAACTTTGCTGTTGTGTTCATTATTTTCACAGTCGAAATTTGTTGTATTTTCATATTCACATGTTTGGTGTTGTGTGTTCTATTACAGCACTTCATTTGTGCACGCTGCCGCCAGATCCAGTATTCCTCATGTGTTTTGGTGCTCAATGCCAGAGTGTTCATTTGATACAATGCATACCGTGAATTGTTGTGTGAATATTAGTTCCTATTAGAATTTCAATTTATTGCCTCATGCAATTGGGTCCCAGCTTCGACCATAAATAAAGCAAATTTTGAGTGTGATGTGATTGTTGAACCTTGATTTGTAAGAATTCCAATGGCTACATGACATAACCTTAACACCAAATTTTCCATTTATTATCAGGTTGTGAGGGGTGCAAATGAGGTTTTGCCAAAACAAATTTAAGATTTGTCAATCACAGTTGCAAGAAAAAATGTGACAAATAGCTTCCAGGTTGGCAAAGTAATCTCATTACCAACCTTATTATTATATTAAATTTTCAATAATTGTAATGCCAACAATTAAGCTTATTTTCAATTTTTATACAGTATTTATAATTGGCCAATGCCTAGACATTTGAATTCTAATTTAGGGCATTGTTGATCATTAATGCAGCTCATTATCAGAAAAAAATTCTACCTATACAAGTGATCTGCATGAATATTTGAAGCAATCTCAGGCTCCCATCTGTCACCATTGTCCAGCAACTTCTCCTTGTTGTACAACAGCTCCTCATGGGTCTCAGTTGAAAATTCAAAATTAGGGCCCTGCAAACAAACAGAAACATGATATTATTTCTGAAAGTTAAAACCCCTTTTACAAGAATTTACAGTATGTATGACATACCTCAACAATGGCATCAACTGGACAAGCCTCCTGACAAAATCCGCAATAAATGCATTTTGTCATATCAATGTCATAACGGGTGGTTCGTCTGCTTCCGTCAGCTCGTTCTTCGGCTTCAATGGTGATTGCCTACGCACACACAATGATATTAATACACGCCTGCGGAGAATGTCGCATACAGTGCCATTGTGTCACCTGTCATACCTGAGCTGGACAGATGGCTTCACAAAGTTTGCAAGCAATACAACGTTCTTCCCCAGAAGGGTAGCGCCTCAAAGCATGTTCTCCTCGAAAACGGGGACTGAGAGGTCCTTTCTCAAAAGGGTAGTTGATAGTGGCAGGCTCCCTGAACATCACACCCAATGTAAGACCAAATCCTGTCAATAGAGAATTTCAAAAGTCAGAAAGAGGTTGTCGCAAGAATATGACAATTGATCTATAATGTAGCTCAACACTCACCAACAAGAATTTCCTTGAGGGCAAGGGTAGAAATGGCCTCATCCAATATATTGGGCCAGTCAGTCTTGCTATCTGGCCTGCTGATATTCTTGTAAGATTGCTGGGGTGTTGATGTTGATAGCATTCGGGCCAGTACAGCTGGCCGAAGCGCAGGTGTAACACCTGGAGCAAATGACATAACCTCAAACGTGAGTGTTTCGACAGCAATGAGTAGGTCCTAAGCGAATAACATGGAGGGAACCAAAACATCGGCCCTTAGAAGGAGTGGATGTTAAGACCCTAAATGAAAGTGACAAGCATAACGCAGAGAGTTCGTGTAACCCCCTTGGTAGACTAGGAGCAGAAAAAGAGATCGTGGACAAGATATCTTGTCTGTCAAGGTAAGAACGGACACGTAAAGAAATTAAACTCATAGAATTTGTCACTGGCAGAAGAATATTCTGCACTTACGACTTGAAACCTATAGAATTGTGTAATTTACCTGCTTTTGCAACGGCAAACAACTTGACCGCAGTCGCCATGTTTAGCAGCCTACTAGTACCACAGTTTCTTCCGTGTGACCCTCACGAACGACGAAGGAGTGAATGAGCAGGCACACGGCAGACTTATTGATCCCCCCCCCTTTTTCTAGTGCTTTTTTGTTTGTTTGGTTTTGGTTGTTTGATCTTTTTGATGGACATAACCACTATTTTATTTACTTATTTACGATCTGTGAAGTTGACACTTGAAAAAGTAGCTACGTAAGCATCGAGGCCTCTCATAATTCATCCCTGTCTCTCATTGTGGAGCTTTAAAGCATGGAAAATGTAAAACTTTATTTTGGGGACTGTTCCAGCCGGTGAAATTTCCAATGCCTGTCACAATGGCTTCTGTGACAAGCGATTCGCTATTGCTTTCTGATGAAGATTATTTAGTTCTCCGTGCCAAGCAAGCATTCACAGTGGATCCACACTCTGCTAAGGCATGGATGTTGACAGCTAAAACTTTGTATCCAAACAACTTCGCAGTACAGGTAATCGCTACATTAGCTTCTCCGTTTGAACTTTTCATTTTATCATGAACTGTTATTTCAAATTTCTTCCTTTTCAGTTTGAAGCCTATAACATAGTTAAGTCAGCTAAAAATGTGAAAGAAGCAGCCAAATGTTTTGAAACATTGTAAGTGGAGCGTCATTCTAAATTTTATGTCAATTTTGTGACTTTTCAAATAATTGTTGTTATTTCACTGACAATAGATTGCATCAATTTCAAGGGGACACAGAGCTCTGGAATGAAGTTGAGGCTTTGACTAAAGCTCTTAGATCAGACTGCGGAGATCCAGAGCCAACTTTTCTTCGTGCGATGTTTGCAAGCCTTTCCACAGGTAAATATTATTGTTTCCCTACCCTTATTACTTGCATGGGGGGTAAAGAAATCTATAGTTGAATTCTACCTCTGATACTCACCTTTTTTTCATTTTTTTCTCCCACAGATGCACAGCAGCAGTTGCTGCAGGTGACTGCGGATAGGAGCAAGGATACAATGGAGCACTGCCGTCTGCTCATGATCCTTCTCTCCCGATTTCCTCATGCTGTAGCAAAGCATGGTGTAAGTGTCCAACATGTGGATTAAATTATTGTGTGGTGCCATATTAGTACCACAATCCCATTTTTGCTTTTGGTTTTCAGCCTCGCCTAGTTGACACATTGCTGTCTGCAGAAAAGCACAGCCATTTCCAAGGAGCAAACAACTGTTATCGAAAACTACTTGGTGAGAACAATTTTGATGTTTTATTTGTTGTTTTTGGCACTACTCTGGTTTCCAATGTGTCCTTTGCTTGCAGTCTGTGAGTTGGTTCCTTTAATGGGAGCCAGCCCAATTCCTGTTGAGCTCCCTCCACGACAGTTGTATCGACTGATGCATAAGATGATAGAATATTATGTGTCATGCTTGATGTCTCCAGTAAGTATCTGGTGGTCCAAACACCCCCACCCCACACAGATTGAGTATAAGCAGTCTTTAAAGACTCTGCTCCTCTTAGGCGAGCCAGGGTGGTCATGCGGGAAGTTTGCAGTAGGAGCTTGCTTTCAATCTGTCTTGGGGTTACATCATACTTTGCAGCTCAATCATTTGATGAGCTATGATGTTTTATGTATTTATGTATTTACTGTAAATTGATTTCAAATTTCCTGTTTTATTTCAGGATTCTAATGAACCAGATCCATGGGATAAACTTTTCTTAGGTTTTAGATCCATAGGCCTAATGTTGAATTGGGACATGTCCGCTGTCTTTAGTCAACCATGGTTTGCACATTGTTGTAAGCAACATTTCCTATCACTTGCCTGTTAGGCAAATTCATCTTAGTGGGTTTTCTTCTCAGGGGCCGTGAACACTACTGGCAACAGCTCTTAGACAAGAATGAGCATTTGCATCAACCATTAGATCCTGAGAGTCATGAAGTACGACAACATATTCACTGTACAGCAATCTTTTTCTTACGCTGTTTACAAGAATACATGTCTTCCCTGCAAGCAGGTCTGTTCTGCTGAACTAAAACTTCTGTTCAATTTTGTCATGATTTTCAACCAAATTTTATTTCTCAGGAGATCACCAGCTTATTTTGCTAGAATCCTTTGTAATGACCATGTCTGATCGTGAGGTGTCAGAACCACCAGCAAAGCGGCGTAAAGGCGATGGTAATGTGCATGAACTTTTAATGCAATTATTTAGGCTTTATTCATCTGCTCAGTTTGTCTTAATAGGTGTCATCTTTTTCTATCATAGAAACAATCCCATTGATCACTGTTGATGCACATACTCTATTAAATGCTGGAAGTGCAACAAATGCCTCTTCGGGAACAGCAAGCAATGCTCAAAATAATCCTGGAAGAGAACGTGCCGTCTCAACTAACGTTGTTAACAATTTTACTGCAGCTCTCCGTTGCTGGAATATGGTTAATTCTCAAGAGGCAATTTATAGAGGTAAAAAATGCAGCATATTGTCAAATTTTCTTATTACCTAGGGTTTGACTGTGCTACAATTTTTGTTGTGAAACAACTGTGGTTCATGCGAGTCCTGTTAACAAAATGTTGTTCTGCTTACAAAATAAATTTCTCTTCTTTTAGGAGTTAGTAAACTTCTCCAAGTGCTTGGTGTGGATCAGTGGCTAGCTGCTTTTCATCAAGATATGCAGCTCTATCGTGGAGATGTGAATGAAATGGTAAACAACCTTTTGCAGTTTGAAAAACCAGAAAATCAAGGGCAGATCCAAAATTCTACCACAGCCCAGAACAATATTAATTTGGTGCGAAACCTGCGCCTGGCTTCTGCCTTTTTCTATTTAAGGCAGCTTCCGGTTAGTGGTCACTTACATATACACTTTGTTAGTTGTTCATTGTCTTTGCAACCATTACAAATAAAATAATTTTCTTCCTTCTCTGTTGTAAGGCTGCTGTTGACCGAGCACTGCAAGTAGTTAGTATGTTAAGCTGTTTACCTCCTGGTGGGTCCCTGTCATCAAATCTTTTGAAAGCCACCTATTCCCTGCGTCACATTCATTTGCTGCCTCTTTCCCGCACTTGTGTTCTTCAATACTGTGCACATCTCATATTGTCAGCTCTGCAGGTTAGTCACCAATGCTTTAACCAATCAAATAACATTTTTCGCTGATACTTCCCATTCATGAAAAGCATTCTTGATTCTTACAGCAGCATTTTGTATCTCAACCAACTGGTGGGGGTGCTACCACAACAGAGATTGACATGTGTGTTGGAAATATGTTGGTATTGCTTCAACTTGAATTGGGAGACTCGGAACAACCTATGCCAGGTGCACTTGATCTACTGGGCCAACTCATATCACACATTCGCTCCCGTCCATCTTTTTCCTACCCAATATTTACCAACTACATAGTCAATGCTGATATTTTAGAAGAAATCATGCATCTTGCAACAAAGCAAGATAGCCCTGTAGCTTTTGAAATTGCTCCTCCATCCAGCACTCAGTTAACTAGGTAACTTGATTGTAGTTATTTTTGTGATCATTTGAATTTTAATAGTTTGCTTAACCGTAACACATGTTTGTTTTTCCGCGTTTTGCAGCCAAAGAAGAATATCTACTCGAGGTGTAGATAAAGGTGCCAAGGAAGATTTTAAGTCTGCTATGAGACGACAAATGGCGAGAAGTAGTGAGCCTCTAGAGCCACTCCTCATTAAATTTTTAACCAATGAACAAGATTATGTCAAACGATTATTATGGCCCCAATCTAAAGCTTATGCACCTAGAATATGAAAAATATTTAATTTTCTATGAATTTCTTTTATTTATGTATATGTACAGTTTCGTAAAGGTAATGAAAGAAATTTTGGTTCATACTCTCTCTGTTGTGTACTTCCTTTGCACTTCACAAAGATGAAACGATGGTGAGCTAATCATGTATAGATATTAATTTCTTACTAAAGCTTTCCTTTTTGATCTCGGATTTCAATGGCACTAAAATAACAATTAACCTATGCATATGAGAAATACATTTAGTACAATATTTGCTGTTCAAGCTAATCTCTCACATGATCCGTCTTTCCATTCATAATATACACAATTATCAAAAATATGGGAAAATTGGTGTAGATTCATACCCTAAACAGATTAGACTTGGTCGAAGCACTAACAATGCATCATGCAGACAACAACCATCGTTGCAGCTCTGTTCTTGCATGGTGCATCCCATGGCACTTAAGACTGAGTAATGCTAATGCAGAAGTGCAGCAATAATTAAGAAATAGTTAGATAAGGCACACATTGGTAGGTTCAACTACAAATTATCAAATACAAACATAACATTTATGCTATCTTTGTACAGACCAAGAAAGTTCATGGAAATTTAAAAACATCGACAAAATGAAATCGCACAACTAAGTTTTTGTATACATAAAGGTCCACTAGGTATGTACCAACAAATACAACACAACACCCAAGTAACTGTAAAATGTCTGTACAAGAAACAAGATTAAAAAATTCTTCTTAAAATTATAAATAATAACAAAGTTAAAAGAATAGAGGACTTTATAACAAATTCACCCGAGAGCTGGAGGACGGACATTTCTTAGAAGAAGACTGCTCGGGTTCTGTCGAAGAATCCTGTAGCTATAAGCTGTTTCTGATGATGGACAGCTCAGTAAATTACGTAGTTGGGCTCTCCCATGACAGCGCAGATACTACAGGCCTCTGAAATTTCAAAAATAAATAATAATGCACAGCTTGAAATAAATGAACACTACAGTTACAAACATGTAAGTTTTCATCTGATGACATGTCAATAGAACTCCCTCTTACTTATTATCATCCTATTGCAACGTGGATTAAATGACAGCCCTTCACCAAAAAATTCTGATATTTATGTTGAAATAATTAGTCAGTCTAAGAAAGCGGGTGATGGATTACAAATTCAAAGCAAGGGCCAACCAAAACCTTAACATTAATGGAATTTGTGGAATTGGAACTTAAAGACGATATACTTTGAATGTCTACACAAATAGGAATGTGAGATATTCTTTGATAGTCAATAATAAAGCAATGGAGTATAAAGAAAGGATAGCAACTTACCCCCAAGTGGAAACCAAGCTCAGTACCACTGCCATTTGAACACCGTACTAATGACAACATCTAAAATGGGAAATGGGCAGGGGGTTCACAAGCATTGACACTGTGGCTGATAGCCTAAGGAGATAAGGAGTGCATGAAACATTTATACACACCAATGCTGAGAACTTAAATTTGACAAGTACAGTGCAAATCAAACTTAGGTGAAATGCACAGTGTATTTGTTAATATAAAATGAAAGCTAGGTTTTGTATTTACAAGTATGTAAGTAGAACAGGAGCTGATGTACTCAAATGTTATGGCATATTACAAACTGTATCATAACAGAAAACACACTTGGAAAAGTGACTGAAAAAGCGACAGTGTGCAAAGAGTGTAAGCAGTGTAAAAGTTTTATAAACAAACCATGAAAAACTTTGCTGATGGTACCAAGGACCTTACTCACTCTAAGCTCGGATAAGAGACACCATCAATTTCCGAAAATTGGCTGCTTGCAAAATAAGCAAAAGATATAAGATTCAGCAGTTGTTTGAGTTAGTGTCACTATTGAAGTGCTTGTTTGAAAGGAACCCAGCCTAACATAAAGGTTTTAAAGCCTAAGAATATAGATCAGAACACATCAACAGAATAAATTCATCTTTAATTTTAAGACAATGAACAATACATTCCATATAATATATAAAATAAACACCTAAAATTTGACAGGACGGATATCATAATACTGAGCATGAGCTCTACAGGAATCATCTGAAGTAAGGTGGTCCCTGATAATCACATAATGGATGGACAACATTGAAGAAGAAAAAATTTCATAAAATCTTAGGATATAAATGTGTGTATAGTATATGTATAGTACATCAAAAACAACTATAAATCTTTTGAGATTAAGTACAAAGAGTACAATGGAAAGGTCAACAGAATATTAAAACTTACATAAAACTAATCACTAAAAATTAACCCATGGAGTCATGATGACCTCATTAAAACAACAAAATCAAAACCTTCAAGTACAGAAATAAAGCATGCAGACATAAGTTAAAGCCTGCTCATCTAGAATACACACTGCCTTAAAATATCAGGTACCAGGCAGTTTGATTTCCATCAAGGATTTCTTTTCGACTGAGATTTTTAAAAATCAGTTCATAAATACTCTGCTGAATGAGATTGCTTTTGCTGAAAAACTAACAGCTGAGTGTGGTGCATTTAAAATAAAACTGAACATTTTCATCTTCTCTAGGTACCTTAAAAATTTGGAATTAGTGGAGATCATTTGCTGAATTTTATTTTATAAAGCCTGCAACTTTTAATTCCTTTTACCTTTAATGTCCTGACAGCACGTATCATGTGTAAATTTTGGACAGAACTTGTCAGTTTTCAAATGATTATCTCACCGGACTTTTACTCAAATGTCTCCACCAATCAAAACAAATAAAAATGAATGCATTGGACTTGCAGGTGATTGTGATCACCAGAAGAGGTAGCAAAGCCCCACCACCTGAAGTACCACATGCTACTTCTATTTGGTAAACAGGTTAGAAAGCACTCTAACTGATTTAAAGGAGGATACACAGGTAACTTCACATTTTAAAAAAATGTCAGCCGACAGTTAGCTGGGTAATGATAATCATAAGATACTCAAGCACAACTTTTTAACCACTGGCCTTAGGCATAGAAATGGTACAAACCTGACATAGAAGTGCAACCGAGCAGCATATTTTAGTTAGATAAAGTAATGGAAAACTTCCCTCTGCTAACAACCCTTTGTGAGCCAGTATAACGCACAAATTAAAATGGTTCCATCATGAAATTCAGGATGGCTTACTGCTTAGGGTTGTTTAAACTACATTTTCAAATAAAAGGGGGGTTTATATTGGAAACAAAATATTCAGGGGCAAGCTAGCATATGGCACAAACATTACTTTCAAATGTGGTAGAACCAACCTCAATACCTATACATTTATAACTATAGTCATGTTAGGGAAAATTAATTGCAGCAACTTCTTTTTCTTTACAAGGCACTGATTTCTAGTCCAAGATATGAAATGCAGAATATCAGACTTAAATTTCAGACTCAAAAATTCCAATTTATATAAAATCTCAACTTCAAGAAATTTTGTGACAAATGATATGAAGGTCTGTTCTGGATAAGACAGTAATATTTCATTGATCACACTTTTGATAAAATAGTTTCTGATTCTGATGTATTCATAAGCAGGAACAAAGACTCAGCCTTTATGGCACAGCACTTGAACTGTGAAATAATGTCAATTAAGTAGATAGCCTTCATGGCTCTAATCCCAAATTTGGTATAAGCACATGGTAATTCATAATTTTTTAAAGTGAGATTTGGTCCCCTAGCGTAGCAACCACCAAGACTGAGCCATGCTAACATACCAAGACATAGAACATTTAACCCGTGAGATGACACACAAACATGCAAAGAATCAAAGGTTTCAAACCACAGTGAAATCCCATAAAGACCTTTATTATCAAAATTTGCCCATTATAAGTTTTGTTAAAACTTTTCAACCCATAAAATTTCATGGGAAAAATCACCTCACAATGAGTTAAACCTAAAAGAAATTGTTAATTTCATACATACCATCACAAGTGAGCTGAGCTCAATTTTGTACACTCCAATAACTTAAACCCCATGAAATGACTTGTTCTACTTTCTCATAAAAGAAATACGAAATAAAATGGAATGAAAACTAGGAATGCAATATTACTTAGACGTCAGGTAAATAGCATAATTGTCGCAGCGTCAACTTGCCTCTAGGTTTATACTTGAGGTGTTCCTCTATGAACTGGCAGGGGCACCGCGATGTTGCACAGTGGCGCGGCGGAGGAGGGGGGAATGTGGCGCCAGTTCTCTCCGACACATCCACAGCCAGGTCCAATCGGCGCCGCACCAGCTGCTTCACCCAGCGGGACGAGTAGCGTAGCAGCAACAACTCCGCACGTTCCTGCATGCAACACAACCCGCCACCTTAGAAAGCAGCACAACATGCTTCCACCCGACTCAGTCATCCCAATATTGAAAAGCTGGACAGTAAACATTGCACACATTTGTTGCTATTTTCAAATTAGAGCTCAAGATTAATTCTAGCGTCTTTTGACAGAGAAGGGCTCCAACATCAGCAGTAACTTGACACCATCACCAGAAGCAACCCCAAAGCTAAAAGCTGCACCTGCAACATTAGTTTCCAGTAAACATGCATGACTAGCTGATTCTCATGGTTTCACAATCCAGGCCAGCCACTACAAGCAGACACTTTCATAAGGTTTAACATCATAGTTTTGTTTTGCAGACAGCAAATGCCAGAAACAAAATACTAGCTAAAATTTTAAATATTGCTTAGTTAATGCCTCTGTCTTGGAGCCATGCACTCCAACAAGGGCAACAAGCGCGGGTATCATGTCTGGGTTTGTTTCGCAGATGTTCCTCAATAAACTGACACGGACATTGTGCAGAACTCAGATGACGGGGATTCATTGGGTTGCCTCCAGCCTCATCCAATGTCCAGTCCAAACGCCGCCGAAGAAAGTCCTTACTCCAACGCTGAACGTACCGCGCCAGCAACTGTTCCCCTCGTTCCTGCGCCACCCAATACACACTTCACCGCATGCCTCACCACGCCACACAAGCTGCATTCTGCTAAGCATTGGGTAGAAAAGAGAGAGCTACACTGAATTGATTAACAAATTGATAGACTTAGAATAGTAAGGAATGATTCAAAATATGATTAAGCATACTCTAAAATAAATAAGAAATAAAAAAGGAAAATACAGTTTGATTTTTGATGCAGTTTCATTTCTTCTTTTCTACCCAAATAGCAATCAAAACTTGACAAAAAAAAATAAAAGACATGAGCAGCAAACAGTTTTATAGCACAAAGCCACTGATAAACAGTCACACCAGTGATCCAAGTTAAAGTGAACTCTGAGAGACAAAGAATTTGTGATCTAAATTAATACTTAAACAAAATGCAAAGAGCATCATTAAAATTTCTTGAACATAAATTTTTTTTTAGAAACAAATGGTGCAATAGTTGATAGCAGCTTAACCCTTCATGAGCAGAGGGAGGAATATTAATAAGAAACAGTTTAAAAATCCATCATGGATCAATAGACTTATCTCTTAAAAACAGGATTAAGGTAGAAAAGACAATATATATTTACCTGTTTTCGAGAAACTCTGGTGGTCTGGCTTCCTTGGATTATTATATCATTGTCTTCAATGTCCATACGTTGTTGGAACTGCAACCTTTGCCTTCGTTCCTCTGTTGTTTCTTCACGGTTAACGGGACGTCCTTCACGTTCTTCTCTTTCGATTACTTCCTGCAGTTTTTTCTGAAAGATTTTTTTTTCAGTTAAAAAATGCTTGGAAAAATTCACATTAAAAACAATAAATGCAGGAACTTAAAGAAATACTTACAATACAATCTGTTGTGTCAAAATAAATGAAGCAAAGATTCACTTTGTGGCAAGACAACTTTCCTCTATCATCCAAACCCAAAATTATTTTGTGCCGAAGAAGATGTTTGTTAACAGCTGCCATGCAACGTTCCAAATTGTAGTTCAGCTTGATTTTTACCCACATACAGAGAAAAATTGCTGCAGCATTTAAGACAAGCCACATGACTCCTAGGCCGAATAGTGTGAGGCCAGTAACACCAGAAAAAAGGAGTGACAGCAAGACTATAAATGCTGTCAGTATCCAAACTACTAGGATTCGCTTATAGCAAATATTATAAGCATGGAATCGGACATCATTTGTCAAAAGTTCCATGATATGAACGTAGTCTTCAACAGTCAACTGGAAAGGAAATTAAGAGAGTTTAAACAAACAAAGAAACTAGGTCAATAAGATTATCAAGGAAGTATGGAGGAACAGGTGTTTGTAATCATCCACAAAGTCATACCGTAAGGCCTTGTGCCATAAGCTCCTCAGGAACTAATTCAGGACGGAATTGAGCAGGAGTAATCCATGGAAAACGAGTATTCACAGGTAGCAGTGTAACTATTATATCACCATTAGCTGACAGGGAAGAAAAAGTAAACTTAATAAAATGAACTAGAAAATATTTTACAAAGAAGTTGAAATAAAAAATAGACCAGGCTATTTAAGTTTTAAAGTTTAGTCTCACCAAAGCCCTGGCGTATAATCCCTGCACTGGTATTGGTGGAAGTTGTGCCATTTGTCTCACGCAAGTTGACAGTGTGCAGATCAATTTTTGTGTCAACAGGTTTGGAAGGAGAGCGACTGACACTGCTGCGGCTTACATTGACATGAGTGGTTTCTGCACTTATCACTGCTGCCACTGGCAAGTTCGTTCTGTCGACATGTTCCTGTTCAGGCACAGGACTGAAGTCTTCAGGTCGAGGACGGACTACTCTTTTAGGGGTTGAATCAACTGCCTCCCCAGCGACGACTGCTCCCTCTGCTTTGCTCGAACCAGATTCATCTTCAAATTTTACCCAACCACCAGGCTTAGCGTCTGATGAGGAAGTTTGCTTAGCATTAGCAGTTGGAACTGTTGCTCCAGGTTCAGGTGACTCTGGCTGGGGTACAGGGTTTGGATCCATCTGAATCATTTCCAAAATAGAGAGAGAAAGAGTATGAATCACACTATTGGGTACCCATCCCCGTCAGGCAGGGCAGAAATGAAGGTTAAACAGGTCTTGAGGGAAAATATAAGGGAAAATGGGGGTCATCTTAGCTGGCATATGGAGTTAAACATGCAATTGCTATTGTTTAATATACTTAGAAAATGTGAAATAAAAATGAACACAATACCTTAATCCGAGCTGCTGAATCTCATGAGCTCGTCAAACCCCCTGACACCTGTGCAGGTGAAGCTCAACGCCCTAAAACATTCATTTGTTTATTTCACAACAACAAGTGCCACGGAATGCGTTCCCCAGCGCACCTTGGACAGGTGGAAAAGGGGGAAGGGGGAGGGGAGAAGGGGACGGATGCGGTGAGCGCGGTGTGGCGCCATGTTTGAAATGCTCCCACCTGCACGCCGCAACGTCGTCGACCGCGTTGGTTGTATGTCACAAAACCGGATTTATCCACGCCAATTTGATCGGGAGTTCAACTCCTCCAGCTTGAAGCTCAACCTGACCTACTTTCATAGGTGAGATCGTTTGCAGCAATGGTGTAGGTGTGGAGTAGACTAGAAGACAGCCTGGGAAATCTGTTTCCAGTAGGTATTCAATGTCCAATGCAACAATATCTCAGCTACTCTTTCAATTTGAGGAGGACTAAAACCAATGACTGGGTTTTTGAGATCAACAGCAGATTTAAAAAATATGTCTTGTTTATTATCCACAATAGCAAGATACTTATCAAATAAATCACTAGGCATAAATTTCTTTCATTAAGATTAACATTACATAAAGCTTTGAAAACAGTACAAAGAACACCAAGATCAACACTAAGGAAACAAATACAGTTACATAAATTTGCGCTACAGGAAACTTGTTACTTGAGCAAGCACTTAGCTCAATATTATGAATGAATGACATTCAAGAAGGTAACACTTCACATATAACTAAAAACACTACGAGATCATTGCATGTTACATCACACATCATTTAAAAAAATTAACGATAAAAATGTAAACTTCTACTGATGCTATCTAAAATTTAAGCTAATATCATTAAACTCACAAGAAAAGGACAATTTTGAGCTAAATGGCATCAGGAACTAATAAAAAGATGAGATACATGATTAAGAAGTAGAATATATCACAATTGGCTGCTCAATACAAAATTCAATTACATGAATCGACTAGATCCACCTGAAAAGGGCTTCCGAATAGGTAAACGGCAGCAGAGTTTGTCAAACCAAGAACGCAATGAAAATGAAGTTGAGAACGAGCCACTGCGGAATACACCACTTGAAGCTTCATCAGTGCATGAGGCCATAAATGCTTGGACATCACTCTTGGGAAACCCTTCTTTGTAATAGAGCTTAATTGTTTCATACGCATCCATGATGATGGAAATGAACAGAGACAACACAACATAGATGTACAAACTGATGAATGTGTAAAGATAAAAGCGGCAGTACCACCACAGCATTGGCGATTTCAAAGGCATTATAGAAAATGTGGCAAACATATCATCACCATTAATTAAAGCAAACAAGCATTCTGATGTGCTTGCCAGAGAACGGAACTTTATATGGTAAGGCCCAAGCACCAGCCACCCACAAAATGTGAAGCCTGCGTAGATCAGTAGAGCACACAGGGAAAATCTGGCAACTTTCGGAGCAGCATTGCGAAGAGTTAAAATGACCACATTGTAAGTCTTGAAAAATCCTAAATATCGAAGGACACCAAACCATACCAATAAGTTTCCTGTACCCAGAAACACACTACAAATATTCCATTGATCACCAGCCAGTTGCTTCCTGTCTATTTGCTCTTTGATTCCTGATCCAAAAATGATGAGAATATCATTCACAATGATCATAACATACCACAAATTCAGGAACTCCAATCTGCCTTCACGGCTAAGCACCTGCAAACAGAAGAAAAGACTAAATAAAGCTCAACTCGACAATAAAATCAGAAAAATACTGGAATTTAATTCAACTTACTGTGCCGTAGACTGTCTGGAAGAAATGAATGGTCTCATTTTTCAATTGCTGAGCTCGATAGATTGCTCTTCCACAGAGCAAGAGAGAACAGCAGCAAACCAAAATAACAACAGAGTTGAGGATGCTTCCTAAAATATAGTCCAAGCGGTTATCAGTAATGTATTCAACATCACCTTGGCACACAAGCCTCATGGGTTCAGCTTCAAGAGACAATAACATTTGCCCGTCTTGATCACTGTTGTCCATATCAATCTGCACATCAAACCGGTAGCAGTCAGGAGGCGTAATGGCACTGGCAGCTTTAAAATTAACAGTCTTCACAGCGAATGCCAGAGAAGCTCGTACTAAAGCAGAGAAGTTCACATCAACCCCTAAGCTGCGCAAGTAGTCTTTGCTTGAGAATTGCGAGGCATTGTGAGGGACTGTCAGGTTGACACATGTCTTATCTATCTCACTGTTAAAGACATAGCTCTCATTAAAACCAAAGATGGTTCCTTCCTTGTAATGATGAAGACACAGCAAAGGTGACGCCATGTGATTGTCATCAGTATCATACGAGTACGGACCGATGGCATCGGAGAGATTCCCATATCCAGATACTGCATGGTCTATGGTGAGAAAGAAGTCTTCTTTGGCATACAAGGCAAGAGGACCCACAGCTGGGGGATAAGAATTAACTTCTCTTGTTGTGTCCCAACCTCTGAGGAACAGGTGGGAGAATGTGACTCTGTTGTCCCATGCGTAGTTCACATGCTTGTATCGGCTGTGAGCAAAGATGCACAGTTGAGCTGTGACCAGGAAGATCTTGACAAGCTGAAGAAGAAACTTGTATGGAAACCTGTTCTTGGCTTGCCACTTCTCAATAGGATTCATAAAAAAGAATCGCAAACGACGCTTCATTCTGTCCACTTCTTGATCACTACATATGTCAGGACAAGGTGCATTGCTCGAGCTAGGCGAGCCTTCAAGGTTGGTTCGCTGACCATTTCCAACACTCGGAACATCCTTTGAAATGGTTGTACCATAACAATGGGTCATATCAGAAGATTTGGACCCCTGGGTCTCGGGATTCATAACCAAAGCCTCCATTTCTTCTTCGTTCTCTGGTAAACCTGAAATGTGAAAACAGCCAATTAAAATGGAGCTCCATCAAAAGGCCAAGGACAAAGAATAAGCTTGCAGAAACGGTGCACCTTCTAATTTTCTTAAAACTGAACAGCAAAGGCCACGTCAACAACTAGACCACAACAACCGCGAGTTAGGCGCGATAAAGCATGCTTTAATAAGAAATGTATTTTTTGCCATCCTATGCACATAACCTAAAGCATACCTCTTCCACACCCCTGAACACACAATGGTAAGAGCTGCGCAAGGGCATGGCACATTTTACCACTGTTCCGGGTTACAACTACGGCATTTTCAACAAACGTGCGGAACTAGATAACTAGAAACGTCATGCACTACAGCTGTTGCCGAGACCAAGGTGATGCGACACTGCGTAGATAAGGCAAGGATTGTGGGTTTAGGGCCATTTACACACGTGCTGCACTAAGATTCATGCGTTGCGACGTTGCTAATGTCTTACCTGACCAAGTATCTCGGGGCGGTTGGGAATTCACCAGAACTTCTTGATTGGAATTCATTCCGTCAACTGGGCCATCAGCTGATCTCCGGACAACACAAAGCCAAGCACGCCTCCCGTCCCGTCCCGATGTTTGCTGCCGCCCAGCTTCCCTCCGTGCGGTTTCTCTTCTCTCTTTCTCTTTTTCCTTTTCTTTCTCCTCCTCCGTCAGCCACCCTCCCCTCCCCTTGCTCCTACTCTCCCCTCCCCCACCACCCCTTCCCCTCCCTCAATGTTGCCAACTACATAGAAAACGTTTTACTTTCCCTTTCAAGACATTTGCAAAGAACATAGGCGCCGAAATGCAAACTGCACGAATTAATTCGTGTTCGAGGTGTTCGACGTCTTAACCGGCGGTCAGCCGGCTGTTTTCTTTAATTGTTTCAGCAGTTGTTGGGATGTCTAATGACCCTGGAGCGCGGTAATATTTAATTTCTAGCGGCCCTAGCGACGTTATTCTACGACGGTTGTTAGGGTTGAGTCATGGTTGAGTGTGAGCATAGGGCAGTTACATCCTATTGGCTCGTGTGGTTAATACTTTCTGGTATCATTTCCAAGTAAAGTCTAGTGAGTCTTGTACAACAATGCTAGAGGGGGTGGGGGTTAAGCACAGAAAACTGCATTTAATTATTATTTATTATTGCACATACAGAACGAATACATCAACCAACTGATACTGGGAGATTGGAGGTTCTATCAAGATGCTCCAAAATTATGGTGAGGCAAAAAGAGAACAGGGAGTAATACCTATGAATAAGCATTCCAACAAGACCATTAGATGGGTTGTACTGTAACAGGATTTTCTGAAACCCTATTTGTAATGGAAGTTTGGGGTGCCAACTGCACGAACCGGCTTTCCTTTTAGACTTTACCAAAGTTAGACTCTGGTCTTCAGAACGAAATACACACTTATATATCTTGTAAAAAGATACCTTAAATAGCAAAAAAAAAAAAAAAGAAAAAAAAAGAAGAAAAGAAAATCTACATCACACGCAAAAAAAGAAAAAAATACCCCAAGCTTAGGGTTAGTACTATCACAAGTGTCTTGAGGTCTTATCTCCAGCCAAACCCACATGTTTAAAAGACAGAAATAATGAAACTATGAGACCGAGGTACAAAGAGCCTAAGGACTAACATGGCTGCTTCACTTTCAACAAGGAAAAAAAAACAAATTAAAAAGTCTGTTATAAATTGGCAACACTGATAAAGAACAAAGGCAAGTGCGTAATGAATGAGTTATTAAATGAGTAACTCAAGTGTTGCATACTTCATTGTTCAGAATGTTACAAAATATATGCAACACATAGCTCAGAGACAGTGCTAAAATTATCAAGAGCCACAAAAATAGTACATAATTTAATTTTTAAATGTGAATATTTTTTGCTTCTGATTTTTACTTATTTTCAGCAACACTAATTGATTCAAAACCAAACAGAAATACAGATCAGTGTATCAAAGGGCAACACTTACTGCAAAACCAGACCAATAAAGGGATCCAACAGAATTTACAAAAAGGTTCCATCAAGTCAAACATAAAACAAACAGTGTGAAATAAACACACTAAGAAGAGCTGTACGGTGAACTGGGCTACAAAGCAGCTGTAGATGTTCTCAGCAGAACTTCCACCGATGGCCACATTCATTGCACAAGACAAAAGTGGTCATAGGTTCATCAGCACTTCTTGTTTGGATCTGAAATGAGGAGAGGGTAAAAGTTAATTTAAACATAAAGTTTCTATTATCATTATTTTTCATGCCATTTGTATTTGAAATGAAGAACAAAGAATGATTGGGATACATACCTGGTTGTATGTACAGTTTCGCTTCTTGCACTTGCCACATTTCAACAGGTCTGTTTTAGTTCCTTGTACTGTGGCTAGTTGGGCATCATTAATGGCCTCTTTCATAAATTTGTTTCTGATTTCTTTCATCTCACTGCTAGCCATTTCCTGATAAAAATGCATGGTTGTAAGGCAATGGAACTAAAAATCAACCAAATCAATCACATTTAAATATACTAACCTCAGCTGTCATTGTAGCAAGCCTAGAAGCTGTTAAAACACCATTGACAAAATTCTGTCGGAGTTCTGGATTTTTGGTATCTTTCAGATTGGCAACTCTACTTCTTACACGGTTCTTGTACCGGTTGTCAGTATTTTTAAATTCCTTGTAAATGGCCTCTTCCAATTCTTCTGCCAATTCATCAGGAGATGCACAGCCTTCAGGAATGTCTATAACAAATTTAAAAAGGAGGTTCATTGGAAAGTGATAATAAATATTCACATAGAAATTGAGCCATATGTAGAGCAAACAGTGTAAAGGGAAGAACAAAGCAAGATGCTTACCAGCTGAGCCTTTAATGGCAGTTGCCAATAATTCTCTGCATTTCAGCCGAACAGCATCTGTAGTGTTGCTGGTTGGAGGGAACGATGCAGATTGCCTGTTTCCCTTGTCTTTCTCCTTTTCTCTTTCTTTTTCACGAGAATCTTCTTTTTTGGGTTTATCTTCTTTTTTGTCCTTAGAGCTGCTCGCAGAATCTTTATTGTTAGGGGTGGCTGGACCTATAGTAAAAATGACACACCAGAAAAATATAAACCTATCCAAGGGACATAAGAATTAACAACTATTACTGATCCATACCTTGTAAAAATTTCTTCCAGTTCTTGATAAGCGTTTTAGACAGAGCGATGACCTCTTCATCTGAACTTGACTTCCGTAATGCATTCACAGTCATTCCAATCCTAGTTTTTGTCAGAATGTCAAGGGTGACGTCCAGCTCCTTCAGCGCCTTGAGGAGTTCAAGGGCCTGGTCCTGTCCCTGAAGAATAGGAAACAAAGGTGTTAAGGGCGTAATTGATACAGCATAGATTCACAACTTAAGGAATGCTTCCTTGCAAAATTTGCACTCTACAGGCAGCTGACAACATTAAAACTGACAAAAAATCAAGAACAAATTAGGGGGAAATACAGATCAATCCATGTGACAAATATAAGGGTGTCCAGTTTAAGTGATTGAAAGAGGCATAAGAAAGGCACAGCAATTGAAGAACGCGCGAAAAAGAACTTGCCAGGACATTCAAATTTGGTTAGACGCCACTCCCGCCCCGCTAATAACTATCAGGTGACTATCGGTTCTAGGCGCTACACACGTTTGCTTCATGGGCAGCACGTAGGACAACTTTCCATCACAGAAGTCCCAACAAAACAGCTTTCTGACAGCAACTTCGTCGTCACTCGGGAGTGACGATAAACGGCAGCGGAGGGAACCTGTTAATACTGACCCCTTCACCCGACGTAATTTTGCTCAGCTTCTTCTGGATCCTCAGAACCTCGTCGTGCACGCTCATGTTGGCGGAGAGTTGAATAATGCAACGAAATTGATTCACGAGAGGCGAGGAAACAAGGCGTTTTCAGGATGAATAGAGGGGAACATCAGACACAGAACCAGGCTACACACGCGCAGCAACACAACTAAGATGTCGGCCGTCGGCCGCCGTCGGCGGCCGTCGGCGGCGTTTTGGCCTGTCCGCTCTCAAAACAGTAACGCTACGCCAGTGTGGCGCCATCTCTTGGTGGAAAAGGGAAGTCGCTGCAAACGCCAGAGAAGAGTAACCCAAGTTGCCACTAGAAAGCGCTAAAGTCGTCATCGAGCACCGGAGAATTCGGCGGGAAGTCCGGAAATTTCCCCTCAGTCGGGAGCGTGAGAAAAGCAAAAGCCCTAATCCAGCCTAGCCGGGCCAACAGCGCCAAATTCCCCGTTTCGACGAAATCGATACCCGATTCGCCCTTCGGACGGCCCGGATCGCTGTCTTCGTCGCGAATCGCAAGTCGGGGAATTAATTCGTCGCCTATTTTGCCGTCAAGTCGCCGTACATACTCCACGTCCACGGCAAGCCGGAGGAGCCGAGCGGGCCCGCTCGACCCGACGATCGGAAGCGGAACCCCAGCAGGACACGCTGTCATCCCAGATTTGACATTTGACTGTTGTGATTCGTGATCGGCTGCGCGAGTTGAGTGGATCGTCCATCAAGGTGACTGCAACTGGAGCAGCATCCACGTGTTCTCGAGAATCAAGGCATCATCAATTTTTTTTCACATCTTACTTGGGAATTCGTGACAATCGCCGAAGGTAGGTACTGATACATTCCCCTAACGTAATAATAAAAGTTAAGCTGGGTCCCCTAGTCTGCGGTCGCGTGGGATGGGTACGGTGACCACGACGCCACTAATTCAATTTGTCATGTAAAGAGTTTAGTGCACTGTCAGTACTGTGCACAGTTCTCACTAGGCTTTGTCTATTCTCTGGTCTCATTGTTCATAACTGTTGCGAGTTAGTGACATTATGGTATATTATTTTTCTCCGGCTTTTGGCCTGTTTGATTTCAAAGCGCCACCATGCCAACAAGTTCTGAAATAGAGAGGGAAATTCGCCAACGAGCTGAGCGTAGGAAGCAGGAACTTCTGGAAGCGCTTCGTGGAGGTGTCCTGGGTCAAAGCAAGATATCCTCCAATGACAAAGGTGACTATACATGGGTTCTTCACATTTTTAATACACTTTGTTGCATTGTTTCTAGAAAATTGTGTTTTTGCAGCAAGCGTTCAGAAAGGATTAGATATGCCTGTAACATGGGCTGAAATGAGGAGACGTTCAGCAGGTGGAAAGGAAAATGAGTCTCCAAAGCGAGTCTCTGACCTGCTGTATCCAGCAAGACCGGCTAGAAGTGTGTACAACAGTCCCCTTATCAAAACCAACAGGTCGCCGTTATGGAAGAGTCCTCTGTCCTGTGCTGATTTATCGCTGTCACCAAATGGCCTGGGCACTTCAAGCAGCAGGGACGAACTGAAAGCCAAGAGCCAAGAGCTTGGCGCATTGAGCACCTCTATTTCAACTGAACCAACTGCGCCACTCCTTTCCGACTTCTCACCACGGAAGAACACTTTGTTGTCCAAAGATCAGAGACTCTACCCAAGTTTGCCAAGAGCAGGTCCAGATGAAGGTCTTAAATCTCCCAACGAAGAGAAGAAGATAAAAGAACAGTGCAATCGCTTAACTGCTAATGCCTCAAGAAAAAGTAGTCATGATTCTTTTGTTCACTCAGTGCGCAGCAAGTTTGAAAATATCAATAACACCCCCCTGACAACATTTACAGGCGATAACACATCTGATGGATATTCTTTTGGTAAAAATTCAGAAGATGATATTGAGGTTTGTGCCATTTTTCTTTCAGTTTTGAAGCCTTAACAAATTATTTGTTTTAGACTCAGTAGTGATATTTTCTGTACTTGCCTTTTGATTTTACAGGACACTTATGACATGGATAGATTTCTAGAGGAAGCTTTGGGATCAGCCCTCCATTTAAATTCAACCATTGCTGATGATAGATCAACAGATTTTTCTGCAGAAGATTCACTTCATAGTATCGAGTCTTACCGAACTCCTACAAAGATTTGCCCAACCAGCACCGTAAGATCATCTGTGCGTCTTTCAAAACCTACTCCTGTCCCTGCTGCAGGTACCTACAGTATTGCAAAAAGTGCAGTTCACAATGATAAAGTAAGTCACCTGCTGAAAGATGCTGATGCTCACCAACAAGTTATCGCACAGGCCAGTAAGGCTTTGACCATCTGTCGATCTTCTAAAACATTCTTCAATTCTTCATCTTTGGTTGATGCTGAACGATTACTCCTTCTGGCAACCATGCGTCATAAGGCTGTTCTGGATGACATTAGAGGACTTCTACCTCACCCTGAAAGCACTAAAGACTTCAAGGGTCGATTATGTGCCTCAGAAATTTCTGCTCAGATTAAAGGAGATTCTCTGAAATGGGGCAAAACTGAAAACGACAAAGATCTATGGTTTCTGTGTGTGTTAAGCCATGGTCAAGAAGTTATTGCATCAGAAGCTGTGGCATACGAACCTGGGGTGAAGTTCATAACTTTTACTAGTAAACTGGAGCTCTCAAACTTGTCTGCCTCATTTGTTGCATTATTGCAAATTTACACTCTGCGTACATACAAACCTCAGGTGGGCAATTTCATTTTTCCTGGAATATAATCTGAGAATTCTATCAAATTTGGCTGTTAATGAAACTGTTTTGTGTTTTTTCTTTTTAATTTGTTTCCAACAGCTCAGCCATAAAAGTAAACTTAGTAAGGCTTGCAAACTTCTTCGGCGCCGAAGTAAGTCATGTTTGGACCACACTGGCAGTTCAGAACAGCTTCTACATTTGCGGACTCCTGCCTTTGCTCTCTCGGGATCTGTATCAGTTGACCTTTCTCAAATCAGTTCCACACAGCCACAGACTTTACAATTGGACAAAGTATGTTTGTTATGAAGTCTTTGATCTCTCTTTATTTTATCTCAAGAGTCAAGAATTATATTACTTTCTTTATTTTAGGTCCCCATAATGTCTCCCCTTCGTGGTAGTGTGTCAGTTCGACTGTCGACATGTCTCACTAACAGCATCGAGCTGAGTGGTTTCCTCACCATCCTTGAGAAAGTTGGATTGAGAAGTCATGCATGGCAAAGACGTTGGTGCCATCTTAGTGATTTACGTTTGCACTTCTGGAATTATCCTGCCGATCAAGATGAAAAGGTAAAAAAAAAACCTTCAATTTTTTGAAAGCATACTCCTTGAATTACTAGTAACAGGTAATGATGTTTCATTTCAGGTACCAATAGATATTATTGACTTGAGATGCTGTTCTTCTGAGAAGGTCGAGGTTGCACCTCGCCATCTGTGCGCGCGTAGCCGCACAGTAATGCTAGAGACTACTCGCCTAAGCAGTCCTTATGACATGAATTCAACCATCATGGAATGTAACTCTGATACCACGGTTGTCAGGTGGGTAGCCATGAATCAGACCAACTTACATTCAAATGCAAAGTGCTGAAATCATTTTGTCCTCTTTTTTTTCTAATCAGGTATTTCTTAAGTTTTGACTCTGCAAAAGAAATGAGTGAGTGGGTATCAGTTCTGAACCAAGTCCTTTCATCTATCAAAGAATGGAACTTAAAGGAGTGTATTATGCATGCCTAAATTTGTTTGCCTTTGTGAATCTCTGTTGTGATTTGTAAATTTGTTTAGTCATTAATTTTAGATCAATGTATTATTCTTTATTGGGTGGTTCCAATCTATCATGTGATGATTTACTTTTATCTGACATAATTTTATAAAATGTTTCTGACAAAATCTATATTTATCTGAATTGCTTGAAATAAAATGAATTTGAGGTTGTATTTAAAATGTAATTAATTGATTGCTGTTCATACTGTGTTAAGAACTGCTCATACTTCACATGTGTGGGGCCCACTCCCTCTGGCCAATTGATAGGAACTTCAAACTGTGAGATGGAATGCCTATAATGCGCGACCCCTCTTGGAGCATTTCTCCTGAGTGGATAGCAGGAGAAGTTTCAATTGAGTCGGACAGTTCTCCAGGCATTCCTAGCCACAAACACAGATGAGGGCGGCTCTCAGACCATCTGTGAACAGCAATTTTATGAGATAGTCAAGTGGTTGCTTGGCAAATGATTTAGCACTGAATTGAGATTGAGTACCTTGCCATTAAGTTCCGTTTGATGAGTTTAGCTTTAACTTTAGTGGTACAAGTAGCCAAGTGCAAGAAGGAAAGCCGTTTGCACTCTTCCATAGTTTTGTAAATGTCAGGCTCCTCCAATTCGCTTTGTCCCTGTAGACAAAGAGCCACTCGTTGCAAAGTGGGAATGCTTTGCAATGCGGTCCACAATTTAGAAGTTGAACCTATATAAGATTGTGTCCAGCTAGAGTAAAGAAGAGAACACCAACATTATAGTGATTAATTACGTGCACACATCGAATTTTTGCAAAAAAGTATTAGAATGATACTTACTGGAAGTCCTGCAAAGCTTTGCCCAGTGGAAGAGCACAGTACAAGTCATGAGCATACACACAGGCAGCTTCATTTCCCAGATCTACAATCTTCAAACTCTTCAGCAGGGTACAATCTCTCAAAATCTGAAAAACAGAAAGAGAAGCACAAAAGGAAATATTGTTAGTTTGAAATGGCTGGGATGCAGCAATAAAAACTAAAAAGAAAAGATGAAACTTTACAGGCACTAGAAACTTTCCATTATTAATGGGAAGGTTTGCAAGAGTAACAGCAATTAGATGTTTCCAGCCACCAACAGAGGACAAACTCATAGCATCCCATCGCAGGTTACTTGGCTTTTTAGGTACTATGCTATTTCTGTAAAAGATGAGAACTATTTTAAATTAAATTGAGTCAATTCCTATTAAAACAATGACCTGTTAGTACTCACTCGCCAGTTACACCAATTTCAAATACCTCTACAAGAGGGGTACATTCAACCATTTTGTTAAATGGGGTTTCCGCACCACCAGGAAGATTTTCTCTCACTCGGCTTACACGCTTTGCTGAACTGTTTGATGAGGAATCAACATTAGGGGCAACACCTACAAAATTTGGGTGACAATATAAGTACAAGAAAAATAAAGACAACGGAGAGAGCGCTCAAATTTCTAGTTGCCATTATTTCTAATACTCACAAACTAGAGCTTGCACAGGTAAGTTTAGATAAGTAAGATTGGGACAAGTCGATGCCATCTCACAAAAGCTGACAGAACATTCTTGGATCTTAGAGGCCACACCAAGACTCAGTTCATTCAAATTTAAATTGTGAGAAGGCAAACAATCCTAGAGAAAAAAAATTCCTTCAGATTAGAGGGCAATAATATCAAAAGAATATCTAAAAGGAAACAGAACTTTACCGAATATGAGGACTCAGGCAAAACTATATTAAGAGCTGTCAGTCTACTGAGGTGAGATAAGATAATTTCAGAATTTGTTCCCACTGGGCCTGGAGAGCATATTCTTTCAATTTTTGAAGCACCTAATTCAACAACATGACAAACTTCACTCCACCGATGAGCATAAATGGATTCTATATTCAATAACTTTTCCTTATCTGAAAAAAATAGACAGAACCCAATTAACACAATTGTTACAGTGATAAAATTGGCTTATAATTATTGATTTTACCAGATTTGGTGATAGATGGAATGGATCTCCAGTTTTGCTTTAGGTCTGCCTCTGTCGCTATAACAGGCCAAACAGTACATGGATACAGGATAATTCTTTCTAGGTGCCTCAATTCAATTGGTTTATCACATCGCATGTAGCTATGACTATCTATATTATTAATCTGGGAAATTCAAAGCTTAATTAACATTGGAATGAATAAGAGAGGATCAAGATTACCATGAGTCCTGAAAAGTCTTAAACATACCCAGAGTTCTCTGAGCTCAGTACATAGATTAACCCACTTAACAATATCAGCTAAGCATTTAGATTCAGGAATACACAAATATAGAAACTCCAATCTTTTTAGAATGTCCTCAAGACCATTACTGTCCATTCCTTTCCGCCACGTCCAGGACAATCTTGTTATCTACAAAAAAAAAAAAAACACCTTATGAATTTGCAAATAAAATAATCCTTGTTTTAGTTACCATAAAAAAGAAATGATCATACCCTACTCAAGGTTTGTAGCAAATTTTTAAGGTGGCTTGGGATTAGTGTGGTGTCAGCAAGAAGAATATTTTGCACATTTGTTAGCCGGATGACCAAATTTTGAATAAACGAAGAAGTCAACCAATAGCAACTTGTGAGGTCAATAGTAGTAATATTGTCAGCCCGAGGTTTCAAAGCGAGAAACCTCTTAATCTGGTCTTTATTTATATCTGTCTGATAATGAAAATTCACCACTCTGAAACAGAAACGCAAAAAAGCTAAGTAGTTAACACATGCCCACACAAGATAAATTTCAATACATTTCTAAAGACACTATAATTATTGACATACTTTACAAGTTTCCGGTCACAGGTGATAGCATTTAACTTCATGCACACTCGAGAAATATGTACATGGTCTGCTGTGGCACAGTAATTAAGAATCATGACTAACAGCTCATCCGGTAGCTGAAGTAGGAGAGACATGGTCTGCAAGAAATGGATCATCAATTACAATTACTTTTTAATATCCGCTACACTTCCCTAAACTAAATAAAAAGCATCAACCGAAATTTGAAAAGAATGCAACTGTACCTTGCTGAAAAATTTCTTCGGATAGAGATGTTTATTTTGATTACGTTTGCTATGTCACACACAGCCCATCAATCATGTGTCACATGGTTTTTCCTGAAAAAAATACCATAGGGTCAGTGTCAAGCTTAGGTAATATTAAAAAAATGGGTTCGGAATCCTTTTGACTCACTTTAACCTTCTACTGACGAAGAGATAAATATTTATATCCTTTTCGTTGTTACATACAACGTGTGTTTTGGTGCGAGTCGAGGTTAAGTACAAGTCAACAAACAGCAGACGACGGAAGTAAAGGTATGCGCAGGTACACCATAATCATAATAAAGTAAATTGATTCAGAGTATCCCAGTCGACACTGTCATCATCACATCACCTCATATATTTATGATCTTAAAATATTGTGAGCCAAACGAAGTGGACTAGGCAAACAATTTCCCCGAAGAAACGAAACTTACTGTGGCTGCTGGTAGCACTGGTCAAAACTTCTTTCGTCTCTTCTTTTTATCCGGTAGAATGTTGTTTGTCATCCACCCCCACCCCGCCCCTTTAACCGTGTGTCTGTCCCTGTCTGACTCTCTGATTGGAATATCGACTCGAAACTTTCGTGTCGTCGGTTGTTCAGTTGTGTAAGCTGGAGGCGGCTTTGAGTTATCGCTGACAGTTGTCTCCGCGTCGTCGCGCTGATCAGAGAATCCCCACCGGCCGTCTACGCCAAACGTCACTGCCACTGTAGCAGGTTAGTGTCGTCTCCACTTCACCCGTCTAAATTGTATATCCGAAGAAAGTAGACTCTATTGGTTTTGTTGAAGTGCTATTACTGCCGATTGCTGCTTCAATAGCTCAACGGTGACCTGTGACATCTTCTCGAATAAGTTTCATCGGTCGACGAAAGGGCTTACATAACGTCAAGTCAATTTTTGTTTACACATTTTCGGCTTTTCGATTGCTACGTGATGCTGAATCAGCGACCAAAATCTTCCATTTTTATTTTCCTGCCCATTCGAAATTCAAAGATTTATTTTTTACTTACTATGCCTGGGTCTGAAGTTTGAAGAATTGCACTTGTGCATTGTTGTGGTGTTTCATCATGCTCATCATTCAGTTTGAAAGATGAAATTTGCTGTTAGTTATTGCTGCAGAGGGATTCTATGGGCAATTGTATTATGTATTATTATTGAGGACTTTTTGAAAATTTGTACGAGTTTCCGCTATGCGATGCAGCGCACACCAAATGTTATGTACAAGTCTGTACAGTCACGAGGACTTTGTACAAGTTATTTTGTGTTTATTTCGTTTTCATACCTTGGTTTGGGTCTGTGATACTTCTTTTGGCAGTGCACTGCTGGTGTCTGGACTTTGGGCACTCATTGGTTATTCAGTTTTATTGATTTTCAACCTAATGACACACATTAGACAGAGGGACAGCACTCAGAAAAATATCTGTCTCTATTGGGCTTTACTCAAAGTAATTCCATAGTGTGTTTTGAATATTCATAATAAAAAAAAAGTTTGGAGCATACTGGATTTTCATAATGTAATGTGCGAAACCAGACAGCTTTCCTCTGAAGTCTTGTCAAACTTATGTAGTAGAGCTTTTGTCAACTAGATTTTCAGTGTTGGTCTTATCTTCACAGAATGCGAATCCACGGGTGGAACTTGTTAAAAGTTGGCACAACTGTTTGCTCACTGCAATTCTTCGGCACCCGATTTGTTACCACTGTGAGTTTCTCCACTTTGCATACTTTTTATTTTGACCTCCCTCTGCTAATCTAGACCCCTGCCTTTGACTTGTTTGAGCTTGAGTACCTAGTTTGTCTTGTCACATTTCGTAAGCAGAATATTTCTTGTTTAACCTTATTTGTAGTGTTTCCCAGTATACTTTCTCCTGAGTGTGTTTCTTTTGACAGCTTGTTGGCTGTTGTGAACATTGCCATTGAGATTTTTAACTTAATGCCCATTTCTTTTATGTATTTTTTTGTTGTTGTTGGTATGTCTCGGTGTTTGTGGCAGGCAGCACAAGCACAGTCCTATCCCCATGCACAATTTTGCCGCCTAACGCCCGATTTTGCCACCCCGGATGACGAGGCTGCAGACTGATTCCGAGAATTGTCTTCGTCGCTCTCGGTCTCTCTCGCACTCTTGGGGTGTCCCGTTTTGGTGCGAGAAAGACAGAGCGACGATAACGACTCTCGGAATCAGTCTGCTGGCCGCCGTGCCGCGCCTCGCGCCTCGCAGCCGCTGCTTGGCGTGAGTTGACCCTCGTCAAGGTCAACGTCGACCTTCACTCGCCGCCGCCCTGCGCCGCCCGCAGTCGCGGTGTGAGTGTGTGTGAGAGTCCGACCGACACGCGGGCCGCACCGGCCGCGGCCGCTCTCTTGCTCTTCCGCTCGCCTCGCACGGCACTGTCTGCGGTGACGCTCTGCCCTGCAGACTCATTGCGAACTCTGCTTTCTTCACTGTCTCTCTCGCACTAAGTGTGCGACAGAGACAGCGGTTTCGGCCCGCAGCTGCAGGTGGAGTGGAGTTCCCCGCGGCGGAGGCGGAAGGCCCCGACCCGACAGCGCGTTCGGCTGCGGTCGGCTGCGGTCGGCGGGCCCGAACGGCGGCGGCGGCGGCACCGTCGGACAGCCGGGCGCGGCGGAACGGCGCGCTGAGCGGTTAATTTTGACTGCGGGCAGCCGGGCAGGGCAGGGCAGGGCAGCGAGGACACTGCTAGGAGGCGGTCGGTTGACGGAAGGAATGACGGAAGTCGACAGCGCGGCGTCCGCCTCCACCGGGCGGCTTGCCTCAAGACTGTTTCCGAGAGTCGCTCTGTCTCTCTCGCACCTATACGGTACGCCCCATGAGTGCGAGAGAGACAGGGCGACGAAAGCGACTTTCGGAAAGAGTTTGGTGGCGCGCCGCGCCGCGGGCCTTTGTGGGAGGAAGGTCGATGAATCGATAATTTGATGGCCACGCCGAGATATCGACGTGCAACGCGATGACCCCCGTGCGACTGGCCAGGCCCTGGCAGGCCTTCCCTCCCGGCCCGGTGGAAAAATAAATGGGGCAAGCAGAGCAGCTCAGCTGCAGGGGGAGAATGAACGCTTGGCGCGCAACACGGTGTGGAAGCGGAACCGCAATCAACCCGCCTAGCCCGCTGCTGCGCCGGAAAAACGCTTCGTCACTCCGTCGTCAAGTCCCCGTAGTCCGTTCCGGGTGTCGTTTGCATCGCTCTGTATCTCATCCCAAGTGACCGGGAGAGAGAGATAGCGACTGAAATGACTCTCGGAATCGGTCTGCAGTTTTCTGTGTCATACGCGCGCGTGTGTGTGGTGTGTTGTTGCGTCATGCAGGGCGAAACTCGCTTGTCAGCGTGCTTGTTTGCGTGCGTATAGTGAGTGCACTGCACGGCCCAGAGGTGCGACGGCGTGTGCTTAAAATGTGTCTCGGGCCGCGACGCCGCGACGCGACCTTTCACCTGGCGTGTTTGGAATCGGAGATGGCGGCACGCCGCGGCCCTGCGGCCCGCCATAGGCTGTCGATGAGGGTTGGCGTCGCCGCGTCGCCGCGTCGCCTCGGCGGGCAGCCAGGCACGGCCAGGCACGGCCAGGCAGCCACGCCACTGCGAACCGCAAGGGCAGAGTGGCGCTGTCTGCCGGAGCCGCCTCCCAAATTGACTTATCGCTCATAAGGGAATTAGGATTTTGTCAGGTGGAGGACAGACGCCCCGAAAGCAAAGTTGGCAGCAAATGCTTCGCGCGGCGTGTCGGCCGCAACGCGCGCCGGTGTCGTCTCTTTTGTTTTCGCGCCGTGGCTGTAGGCACTTAGACTGTAGTGAAATAGTGCACGCTTCTCGGGGTCTGAGAAGCCTCAGATTGACACTTGTGCACTTAGAAAGCACGGCCGCCTGGCGGGCGGACAGTACATGGCGATGGAGAGAGAGGTGGCGTCGACGAAACCATGAGCCATCCCAACCCCGACCTGGGTTCTCGCATGCGGGGGGAGGGGGGCTTATAAACTCGCCACTATCGCCAAAAAGTTTGCGGCGCTGCTCCACCCGGTCGCGTCTGTCTCTCTCACTCTGGCAGACGGGCACGCGTGATCGCTCCCCGTGCGTGGCTGTTTGTTGGCGGCGTGCGAGTGAGGGAGAAAGTGTCGAGTTGGACCGCGCGCGCGCCGCTAACTTTTTGGCTTTCCGGGCGAGTTTGCTGTTTTCCTTCCGGCTCCATGATTCCGCGATTCCATAGCGGAGCTGCCTCGTCATACGGCACGGCGCGTCGGGGGGGGGGGGGGGGGGGGTGTTCTCGGCAACCGTTGGACTGTGACTCAATGGTGACGCGGTCGTGACCCGGTGGACTTCGGATGGCCTCGCCACTGGCCAAAGGCGGCAGAGGCGGCCCTAGCCAAAGGCAAGCGGCAGGCGTGGGCAGGCTCAGGTGGACGGCGCTATCTCTATCTCCGTCCGTTATCAGCGAACGGCGGCACGGCGCGCATACGGCGTGTATGAAAGTGTGAGCGGCGCTCTGGAGGCGCCAGTCGAGACTCAACCGCCGCCCGTTTGTTGCAGAACGTGTCGCCCACCAACACCAACAAGATGGCCGACTGGAAGAGCGCCTCGTCCGTGTACGACTTCACCGTCAAGGACATCACCGGCAACGACGTGTCGCTCGAGAAGTACAAGTAAGCACTCGACTCGATAAGCGTGTTTGCCTTTTATTGTTGGGAGGCTAACGTTGTTGATGACTGAAAGGGGCCATGTGCTGCTGATCGTCAACATCGCCTCGCTGTGCGGACTCACGGCCACCAACTACAAGGAGCTCGTCGAGCTGGACGAGAAGTACAGGGAGAGCCACGGCCTCCGCATCCTGGCCTTCCCCTGCAACCAGTTCAACGGACAGGTAGGTCCGAAACGCTTCAACACCTTGCTAGTCTTCCTAACGACGTCTAATTAACATTCTGTGTCCCAGGAGCCCGGCACGTCTGACGACATCGTCTGCTTCGCCAAGAAGCAGAACGCCCACTTCGACCTGTTCGAGAAGGTGAACGTGAACGGGGACGACGCCAGCCCGCTGTGGAAGTACCTGAAGCACAAGCAGGGCGGCACCTTCGGAGAGTGAGTATCGCGCCGAGGTTTGAGGTTCGAATCCCGCCGCCGGCCGAGTGCCTGGGCATGCCCCCTCCCCCTCTTTTTACGACTCCAGTCTATTACTTGACCCGACGTCTGGGCGGCTCAGCCTGGATTGCCGCGTTGATCACTATTCGGGGCGGGCAGCATGCATTATGCATGCCGCTGGAGCGAGGAAAGGGTTTACGACATGTCTCGTCTTGTTTCAGCTTCATCAAGTGGAACTTCACCAAGTTCGTCGTGGACAAGAACGGGCAGCCCGTGGAACGACACAGCCCCACCACGGAGCCACACGTGAGTGGAGCGAGTGGAGCGCCGCCTGGTGCTTTGATCTATGCCCTTGTGACACTGATGGGCCTCATCTCATGCTTCTGTTTTCCTCTTTATGTTTTCAGAAACTAGCCGCCGTCCTCGAGAAGTACTTCTAAGAGGATCAACAAAGATGCAGCATAATGTTTTTACTGTTTTTAGCTGTAGAATGCAGTAGGACTCTTCTCTTGCAACTGCTTGGTAGACTCGTGAGACGTAGATATTATATTATTTGTTGGTTTTCTTTCTGTTAGTGTTAATTGCCTTGTAGTGTAATGTCAAATGCTCACTTATGTCTACTTTCATTTTCTCAAGACATTGTCCTTTTGGAAAATGTACCTCTTATTACACGTTTTTTAAAATAATTTGCCTCTAAATTATTGTTTTAGGCTTAGTTTTTTACTCTATGGTTGATTACTAACACCATTTTAAAACAGTGACAATAAGAACAATTTATTGTTGTTTTTCTGAAAAGGCGTGCCATTAGTAAGTTGGCTAGTGCACGGTGTTGGTGTTGTTTTACTCGGTCATCCCAGCACAAAATTAGAGATACTCACTGTTTCTTAATTTGTTTAATGCGCCAATCTGTTTTAAATCACATTTCCATTGTGTCATACTCGCTTTCATGTGTCTTTCCCCCCCTTTTGCAAGAGCAACGGATGCTTTGCAGTTGTCTTTTTCTCAATCAATGTCGAAAATTCCATCACTACTGCGAGGCACATTTTGTGTGAAGACTGTCAAGCACCTGTGTGCACATTAAGGCTGTGTATCATCTGAGTAAATTAAATTAAGTTTGACCAAACGCCTTTTCTTTGGATCTCCTCTTTACCTCGCAACATAATACATTTTGGCGGGAGTAAACAACAAGAAAAGTGGCACCACCAGCTAATCTTTAAAGTGTTCCTTTCCTATCTGGTCCGCTCGGGTTCCCTCCAGTGCCTCGCACGAACCCGCGGAGTATGGTTTCAGTCTCAAGTAGCTCACCACTACACGCGCGCGCGAACATACACACACACACGCGTCATCTACCCCGGGCCCTCCGCGCTTTTCAAACACAAACAAAGCACCGAAGGATCCCATTAGGGTAATACCGCGGTGGCTCGGGCCGCTCGGCTCTGCCAGTGTGTGAGCGAGCAGCAGGAAGGGGTGGGGGCTGAATTAAAGGGTTTCCATTGAATTGGTCGTGATCTGGAGACTGATTCCGAGGGTCGTCTCCGTCGCTCTGTCTCTCTCGCACTCCTGGTCGCCCGGTGCGGGTGCGAGAGAGGCAGACGAAAACGACTCTGGGAATCAGTCTGCAGGCGAAGGAAACGAAAGGCGCGTTGACAAATGACGTTATTCGCAGAGCGTGGCGCACCTCGTAGCGAGCGTGAAGCGAGAGAGCGGCGTCTTCCCTTCCCTTCTCGCGAGTCTTTCGACTATTTACCGCTCGTTGCGAACGCGACGACACGACGCGACGCGCGGCTCGTGCTCGGGGAACTGACGTCCAGGAAGAGTCGTAAAATGAATTCGTTGCTTTGGAAACGGGAATGGCTGAACGGCGGCGGGGCGGGGCGGACTCGAAACCTGGAAGTTACTTCCCCGTCGTTGGCGCTCCGGGATGCTCCGGGACTAGAGGGCTGGCGGCAAGCATTGGCGGGCACGCGCCGGGGTTACTGCCAGAGGACGGCATGCCTGATGAGGCCGTCAGGATGCAGCAGACTGATTCCGAGAGTCGCTCTGTCTCTCTCGCACTCATGGGGCGTCCCGTGTCGGTGCGAGGGAGGCAGAGCGACGGGAACGACTCTCGGAATCAGTCTGCTGGACATGAAGGACATGAAGACCGCGCCTGCGCTGCACCCCACCGGTAGCGCCTTACGAGTGCGGGGTAGGCAACCCGCGGACTGCCCGGCGGCCGGGTTGCCTACCGGCCGGGCTGACTGCTGCTGCTGCTACTGCGAGGGCCTGGCCTACAAGCCTGCAAGCCTGCAAGCCCCCAAGGCCGGCCGGGCGGACTGGCGGACTCCAGGCGCCGAGCAGCGCCGAGGCGGCCCCCGCTACATCCCCTTATTTTTCGCGTCCTCCCTCGCAGGCCCCCCGCCGCGCCGCGCCCCGCCGCTCGTTTGAGTGACAGTATAATTATGTTATGTCAATGAGCAGACGGGGGTGGTGGTGGTTGGCGCCGGCGCTGCACGGCGTGGCGTGGCGCGGCGGGGCGGGGCGGAGGCTGCGGCCTCGCCGGGGACACGCAGCAAATGCCAGAATCAATTTTGGTCCCTAAGGCGTCGTGCTGCCACGGCCGCCGCGCCGCCACGAGATGCTGGCACGCTGCACTGCGCGTCGCGATGCCCGCCGCGTGTGGGTGGGGGCGTTGGGGCCACTGCCTGGCCACTGCCTGGCCACTGCTGGGGGCCGCGGGGCGCGGACGGCGGCCTGCCTGCAGCTTTGGCAGCAGCCAGCTGTCACACGGTTATCATCCAACGACAAGGGGGTCAGTTGCGGAAGAAAAGTACACCCTTTCTGTGGCCTTCAACAGACATCTGACGATACCACACACGATTTTCATCTTTAGTAGACCGAAATTTACTGGTCGCGTGATAACTCAAAGTCAAGACATGAGCTCCATAAAAGTGTACTTTTCTTACCCCGTAGTCCTCTTCCCCAACTTATCCCCCTACACGAAAGGGAGGGAAAGGTGCCGCCAAAAGCAAAAAGAAAAGAAGAAGCAGCAGCTGTTTACCGCCCACGCCCTCACTCTCAACTTGATAGAACGAAAACATGTGCCTCAATTGATTTAACAACCGAGTAATTTGTCTCAATTAAGAGCCGAACACGATGGAAACTTGAGCCAGCGAGCCGCAGCGCGCGCAGCAAAGAGACGCCCTGACCCCTTCCGGCCGGTGGAGTTCCTGCTGGCTGACGCCGCCAGGTGCTGTCACCGTTTGAGGAGAGAATTTGGAAAAGGCTCGTCCGATGCTGGCAGCCTAATTGGCAAAAGTCTGGTGAACACCGTGCAGATTCCTCCTTCCCCCGCCGGCCTTCCGCACTCGCGACACCGCCCCGCTAATATCTAGTCGAGTTAGTTAACACTCGAGAGATTTCCGGCTCCATTATAATAATACTTTATCAGAGCCGTGGCGACGTGGCCGTGAGACAGGCCGCCGACAGACGGGCGGGCGGACAGACAGACAGACAGACAGACGGTCAGACGGACCGACAGAAGGGCGGGAGGGCCATTTGCTCTCCCGAGGCGCTGCTGTGAGGCCCAGGCAAAAACATCTTCGCCCCGCCGATTCGATTCTCGATTCGCTCCAGGAAAAGAAGGAGAGCCCCGGGAAGGAAAAACTTGAGTTTTGATTCATTTTTCGCCGCCTGTTCCCCCCCGATTTCTTTCGCATGTTTTTTTGTTTGCTGTGTACACGGCTTTCTGCCGACAGTGCGGAGTTGCGCGGTGGGGCTCCGCGGCGGTGGGGCCCCGCAATGGAGATGAATCCCGCCGCCAGATTTTACAGCGCGGATATTGCTCGTCTGGTCGGAGCGAGTGAGACGCGCGGCGCGAGACGCGGCGCGCGGCACTTTTGAGGCGCAATGATGCGGCACTAAAACGCAATTATTAAATGCACTTTAATGCGCGAGTCGCGCGATTAAGGCGGCCTAATAGTTTTACGTCATTTCTTTATTGCAGCTCCGCTGCTCGTTCCTCGACATGACGTCCGCCGGGGCGGCCAGGGGCGGCCAGGGGCGGCGGCCGGCCGGGCGCGGTGGCGCGGCAGCGCGGCGACGGGGCCCAAATATGCATGAGCCTGCGACGCCCTTGGCCCTGCCTTGGCCCTGCCGCAGCGACGCGCACACGCGCACGCACAATGCTGTTTGACAGGGTATGTGACCCGCCCGGCCCGCGCGCTACTCTGTCAACAGGCAGCGACTTATTGGGGGAAATTGTCGGGTTAAATCTTGGCAGGGTGGGGTGTGGGGTGTTCCGTCCCCGCCGGGAAGAGACGAACAAACGGGCGCGCGCACAGCCGCAGGTTGAGCGCCGTGCTAGGCGGCAGCGACTTCTAGAACGGAAAGGCAGGGGGCTGTTTCCGCCCGGCCCGCTTTGCCGTGTAGGGCCGTGTAGGGCCGTGTGGGGCTCGGCGGGGCTCGGATGACACGGCGAAAGACTAATTTCCAACCTGCTTGCGCTGCTTGCCTTACTTCCTGCATGTGGGCCGCCAGGGCCGCGGAGACGAGCGAATGAAGCATGAACGCCGCCCCGTCCCAAAGCCCCCCGCGGCCCCGCCCTGCCCCGCCCTGCCACGCACGGGATTACCTGCTGTGTGCTCATTAAAGGCCAGGGGGAGGGGGAGGGGAGGGCGACGCACTCATCAAACTCTCTTTCTCCCTCTTTCTTCGGGCGGCCCGGCCCGCTTGTCCACCCTGGAGACAGGCCGAGGGCGACGAAGCGACGAAGCGGGAGGAGGAGCGGACGAGGAGGACGGATAGAGAAGGAGAGATAGAAGGGGTGGCCTGCCTGGCCCTGCCTGGTTTTAGGCCGCGCTACATGGAGCGAACACAACGGCCTGGTGATGGCGTTTGTAGTCCCGCCGGCTCGGCCTGGCTCGTCTGTGCCTCCCTCTCACTAAGGCCGCGCTCAGCTCAGCTCGCACTCCATTTGCAGCATGTTGTGTGGTATTTGAGTTGAGAGTAGGCCGGACCAACAGCACTTCCTCTCTGTCACCACCCTATCGCACGCACCCCCTGACCGGGCAGCGCCGAGGCCTCGGGGCCCTCGGCCGAGCCGAGCCGCGGAGCGCCCACCGGCCCACCCCTCCAGTACTACATGATGCCCGCGCTGGTCTCTCTTGGCTCGCTTGGCTCGCTTGGCTTGCGTCGGTTTCCTGTTGCCCGTCTATCTGTTGCTGCGCAGACTCCACTCGGAGCCCCGCACCCCGCACCGCACCCTGTCCCGCACCCAGCCCCGCCGCACCCTGCCCCGCACCCCGGTCCGCGCCCTCCCCCGCACCCCGCCCCGCACCCCGCCGCCCTTCCCCGGTCCGCGCACGCGCGCCGCGCTCTCCTCACCCCCGCGGCTCCGCGGCTCCGCGGCAGGGCCCGGCACGCGGTGGAGGGTAGGGCCAGAGGGCCAGCGGCGTCGGAGGGGAGGGGCCGGAGGGGAGGGAAGGCACCGCCACGGCCGCTGATGGTGCCGCCACTGCCGCCTCCGCCGCGCCCCGCCGCGCCCCTCCGTGTCGTGGGCCTTTCGGCCTGCGTGCCCTGCCTGCCCTGCGTGCCCTGCCTGCCCCCGTGCCGGTGCGGGCTACGCGGGCTACGCGGGCTACGCGGGCTACGCCGTGGCCTGCCCGCCGCGCCCTGCCCGCCGCGCCCTGCCTAGCCCTGCCCCGTCGCGTCGCGTCGCGCCGTGCCGCCTCGCCGTGCCGCCTCACCCTGTTTGCCCTGGCGTGGCCGGGCCGGGCCGGGCGAGGCGGGGCCGGGCGAGGCCGTGCCGCCGTGCCATTCTGGGCGTGGTGCTCAGCGGGGCCGGTCGTCCCTGGTCGTCCCTGGCCGACCCCAGCCCACACCGAGCTGGAGTGTCGGCCTCGGCCTCGCCTCGCCTCGCGGTGTGGCGCGGCGCCGCGGGGCTGGGGCCCAGCCGCTGGGCAGGGCGGGCGCGGTGCGTCGGCGTCCTGGCGTCCCGGCGTCCTCGTCACGGAGCAACACGGCAGGCGGGCTGCAGCGCGGGCCGGCCCAGCGGCGCCGCCAGTGTGGGCACGACGACGTCACCGGCATGGCGACACCGGCGCGGTCGGACATCGGCCAGGTAGGTGGCGGAGGACCGAAGGC